GTAATCAATCAAACAACTGCCTCATCATACCTGGAGTGAATGGAAATCATTAATGGGCAACTTTAGATTTCATGAAATGCACTAAATTGATATGCAAATCAAACAGTTCTGTAACTATGTTAGCTTGGTTACTGCCGCAGTCTTCATTTTCCCATTCCTGTCTCCCCATTGCTTCACTCCTCATCACCTTGTTTGCATTCTAATCACAATGGATTTACCAAACAACGTAATTTACTATATCATGAACATAAAATGCTCTTGCTGATATTGCAAGTCGCTGCACTCAAACACAAACCTTTTCTAAACACCCTTACTCATGACTCTCACTAATTAATTTTGTAGTATGCAGATGGTTATGGACATTAATGGCACTGCTAACTAATACTTTAGATTAGCTTACATTAGCCAGTGAAAATATGAAATCTCTGCAGCAATAAAATGGGTATTTAGAAATATAGCTGATGGTTCACCAACCTGTTTGGGTCATCATACAAGTATTAACAACAACAACTTGCATTTATATGGTGCCTTTCATGTAGGTTAACTTCTTATGAGTGGTAAGAGTACTTCACAGAGATGGTGCCAAAAGGTGAGCAAGGAAGATGGGGAGGAGACAGGAGGGAGGTGAAAAGAGGCAGGTTTTTAAGAGATTTTAAAGATAGAGATGAGGTTGGTGGGTGGTAGTGGAGGGGGGAGGAAGGAGGGAAAAAAGTTCCAGAGGGTGGTTGAAGACTTGGTTGTGATGGTGGGCAGAGGAGGCAAGGAACACACAGCAGGCCCAAACAGAAATTCACTGGGATGATACCAAAATACAAGGTTATAATATGGAGATATTATAAAAGAGTGAAGAATCTCTCTGATTCAATGGGTTTTAAAGTGGTGCTTTGGGTAGTCATGGCAGACATATCAGATGTATTGGAAGGCTACAGTATGATTAAGGACAGGCTTTATTCTATTCTTGTGGGAAGTGTGGGGAAATTTTGGCCTTATATAATAATAATAATCATAATAATCCTTGCACTTGATATAGCGCTTTTCACATCGGGAGGATGTCCCAAAGCGCTTCACAGAACACACTGTAAAGTGAATTGACTGTATATTTGTGGGCGAACGCGGCAGCCAATTGCGCACAGCAATGTCCCACAAACAGTCGTAGATTGAAAATGACGAATTTATTATTGTTTTTGGTTTTGGAGGGATTATTATTAGGCGTGTGGAGTAAGGAAACTTGCCCAAGGTTTCGCCCTGCCTGGAATTGAACTCTGGTCTCTCGCTTGCAAAGCGAGTACTCTAACCACTGAGCTACAGGACTCCACAAGATCCCACAAGAACATAGAATATCGTAAGACTGATGGGAAACTTACTGTGTTCATCAAGTTTTGCAGTGTCTCATAAAGTCCTCATGAAGAAACAGGAAACCATGGAAATAAATGGCCAAATCAAAGCAGGATTTACTGTAAAGTGAAGTGACTATATCTTGTAGGTGCATGTGGCTACCAATTTGCACACAGCAATGTCCCACAAACAGCCATGAAGTGAATGACTAATTTTATTTGGGGAAAGTTCCCTTCTTTTTTCAAATACTGTCATGGGATCTTTAATGTGCATCTGGACAGGCAGAATGGGACCTTGGTTTAACGTCTCATCTGAAGGATGCCACCTCTGACTTCATTGGAGTATCAGCCTAGCCAATGGAATTAGTGTATCTTTTCAGGAATATCTGATGGAATTGCATTGCTTGTGTTTGCAAATGATTTTTTGCTGGTGACTGACTCACCTGCACTGCACTCACCATCATGAACAACATCTTACATTTCACCCGGGTAGCATCTCAGAGCACTTAACATCAGTATGATTTGACCGCAAGCTGGAAAGAGAGGAGAGATGACCAAAGGCACGGTCACAGAGGAAAATCTTCAGGTGTGATCTGAAGATGGGCAGTGAGGGGACAAAATGGAGGATCGAGGCAAGGAGTTTCAGAGATTTGGGGCAAAATGGCTGGGAGAACAGTGGGCCACTCAATGGCATTTGATGGTGGGTACCTCCAAATCAAGTCTTATGGTTCTGCACAACTCGAGAGGGGACTTTGAAGGTATCCAAAACCAATCAAATTGTACTCCAATATGATTCAGTGATTTCAGGAGAGGAAAAAACTGTGAGAAAGTATGTAGAAAAGAGTAATGCAACCCCAGTAGAAATTATCAATTTGGAATAAATAAAAAAATTAAATCAACTCTAATTAAAAGATGATTTCAAACAGCTATCATTAGATGTAAGAATTTAAATCACTCCTAAACAGGACAAGGAGTTTATGTTAAATGACTTCATAGAGTTGAAAAGTTCACTGCAGTTCGTGTTGACATCACCTGCACGGGAATACATTTCTAGAAAGAACAACATCAATAAATTAGCTACCAAAACAGAAGTCACTGGGACTACTCAGCAGGTCAGGCAGCAACTGTGGAGAAAGGAAGGTGAGTCAACGTTTCGAGTCCACGACCCTTCATCGGAACTCCAATATGAATTGCTTTCTGACAAAGGGTCGTGGATCCAAAACGTTGACTCACTTTCCTTTCTCCACAAGATGCTGCCTGAACTGTTGAGTGTTCCCAGCGACTTCTGTTTTTGCTTCAGATTTCCAGCATCTGCAGTACTCTGTGTTTTGTCATTAAATTAGCTGTTTTTGGGACACTGATTGTGCACCAATTGGCTGCCACATATGCCCACAAAACAGTCACTGCACTTTACAGCATATGCTGAGAACAACAACAACAACAAGATTCCATTTATAGAGCGCCTTTCACGTCGGGAGGACATCCCAAGGCGCTGAAAGAAGTGCTTTGGGACATCCTTCTGGCGTGAAAGGCACTATACTAAATGTAAGGATTATTGATTATTATTATAACAAGAAAAATAATTACCAATGTGTTGTGCATGAATTAGTGGCATGTGAGTCATGCCCATACCTCTGAGTTCCTGATTTCAGGTGTATCGCTCTAGGGAGGTGTGAAACAGAGTCCAGAGTCCCTTCTTTTTGAGAGAGTTGATAAAGGAGGGTCATCCAAGTGTTGTTTCAGACAGCCCTTATGTACTTGGATCAATGCCCCACAAACAGGTCCAGAGGACATTTGCTGCATATCTAGGCTGACATTCTGATCCAGTATTGGGGAAGCACTACATTGATGGGAGGTGCCAAATATCCGATAAAATGTTAAATGATACCTGTTCAGGTGAACGATAACGATTCCATGGCATTATTGAAAATGAAAGAGAGTTACTCCTGGTGTCCTCCCAACATTCCTCCAGATTAATCAGTCAATCATCAGATGGTTATTTGTGGAACCATATATGGGTAAATGGTTGCTGCATTTGTCTACAAAAAACAGTCACTACATTTGAAAAAAGTTATTGTAAAATGCACGTTCAGACTCAGTGACATATAAGGTGCTAAAAATGGAAATTTTTGTAAGTTCGTTTTATATCCATGGAGATCACAAAATGATCAATTCACTTTACAGTATATTCTGTGAAGCACTTTGAAATGTCTAGAAGACGTGAAAAGCACTATATCAAATGCAATGATTATTATTATTATTATTATATGTAAAAAAGTCGCAACAACAACAATTTTCTTGGAAAATGGGCTGAATGGCCTACTCCTGTTCCTATGTTCTTATGCATTTATATAGAAGCCTTCACGCAGGACAAAGTCTCTGAGTACTTTACAAGTGATAGGGTCAAACACCAAGCAGAGAAGGGGACGGAGGTGGGAAGGGAGAGGGGACCATATTAATTGGGTTTGGTCATCTGTTTCCTGCTTAATTTTCATACCGACTCCAGCAACAAGTATGAGTTCAATGTCCTCCTGATGTGAAAGGTGCTGTACAAATGTAATTTTGTATTGTATTGTTGCATACTGTAAATAGGGTTTTTTTTCCCTTATCTTTCCTATCTACTTTCAGGCTTTTACAGTTCTTCTACATTTCATTTTCTGTTGGGTGAAAATGCAATGTGAGAGTACAAATCTGAATTTCCTTTCCTACCTGTAGTTTAGAGGACTCTGCCTTTGCTGCAACTATTTTGCTAAGACTATTCTTCCTGTCCCAAGCAGCCAGTAATAACATCTATTTGTAGGCTTTAATGGTATCAAGCCCCATTGTTTTAAGGTATGGTTCAATCTAAATGTGTCTCGAATTCTAGCTGGTTTCATAACCTTTTTCAAGACTAAATATACAACTTAAAACGGCCATCTTGTAAAAATATTATGTTTGTGTAAACACAAATCCAAATTGTTTGATTGCTACTTTACTAAGATTGGAAGTTATGTACAGGATTCTAAATCAATCACAACAGTGCTGTTCGTTGAATCACATAATACAACATAACCTTTTAACAGATCATGAGATTCAATAGCAGGAGTATGCCCTGTTGTCTTATAATATCTGAGAAAAAAAATCCTCTACAAAAAGTGTAAAACATGCAGCCTCAACACCCCCCAGCAAGAATTACGTTGCTTTAAAAGAACAAACCAGACCAGGATGTGTTCTTAGCCTTCAACACATCTGGACTTGAGCTGATGTTCACCACTACCTCAATTTCACTCAGCTTGTGATGTCATCTAATTCCTTCTACGTTACTGCCTCCTTAACCTTTGTAACTTGTTGTTGATCACATGGTTTGGAAATAGAATGAAATCCCTGGTCTTCACTTTAATACACACACACCACCCCCCTCCCTATAATAAATAAATGAAACATTTAAATCACTGTTTTATATTGAAAATCAATTTTCACACAAAAATTCTATATTGCCTACTCTTAGGCTGCGTTAAGTTTGTGTTAAATGTCTATAAGATCCCGAGTTTAACCTTTGGACTTTCTGGTTACTTTTACAAGTTAAGTGAACTTCGAAACAGATTGTCTCAGCTGCTCTGTGGTATATAAATACAGCTCCAAGCAGGAGCGTCAACCACTGCTTCAGAAGGTTGCAGCTCTGGGCCAAAAGGAGTATCAATCGCCCAGCATGGGCTTCATGAAGAAGCTCAACCTCTTGCTACTATTGAGCAGTTGTGCTTTGGCACGTAAGTGTGTTTCTTTGTTGTAAGTTTGCTTTAAGTGGAAACAAGACAGACAAATACAATGTAAACCACACACGATACTGTACGGTGACTATAACATAGTCATTGTTTAGAATTTGAATCGCAATATCCGATAAATGGTACTGGGATTTTTATTTTTAACAATATATATTTCTAGATTACAAACTAATTCAGCTCAATTGAAAATGATTTATACCTGCTGCATTTTTGTAATTGACACTAAAAGCAGGTCATTTAAATAAAAAAATTGAATGACTATTGTTTTTTGAAAAAGCGGATATATAATTTCTAAATGGCTTTAAACACTTTGTAAGGAAGCATACGAGTTAGTGTGATGTCGCTTGAATTTTTTTTATTTACTTTGACAATTTTAAAGTTAAGTTTATGCAGACCTTTTATTTTACATTGAGTTAAAAAAACTATATTTATTTGAAATAGGAAACAAAAGGAATTGTCTCGGCTATATTGGATTTAATTTTTTCACAGATAAAATGTTATCTGGCAAATTTATTTAAAAGTTCAAATTATAACTGTCAAAATGTTTTACCATAGAGATCAGAGATATTTATTACACTTTATTCGTTATTTATGTAAATCTCCTATTATTTTTTCAGAACAAAGAGATGACAGTTCTGAAGAAACAAAAGACAGCCAATACTGTTTAAGTAAGCCCTTGTGAATTATTTCTTTATTAAACTAATTTACTACAACTAATTTATGCAATTTCAAGTCCACTTTGCACCTACTCTTGTTATTGAAGCAAAATCACAAAATTTCACGCACAAATTACACAGTTAATTCACTTTACAGTATATTGTGAAGTACTTTCAGATGTATCGAAGACATGATAAGGCACTATATCCAATGCAAGGATTGTTATTTATTATTATCACATTTGTGGAGTCCTGTAGCTCAGTGGTTAGAGCACTTGCCTCGCAAACGAGAGGACCTAGGTTCAATTCCCGGGCAGGACGAAACATTGGGCAAGTTTCCTTACTCCACACGCCTCTGTTTACCTAACAGTAAGTAGGAACCCAATTGTTAGTTGTTTGACGGTTCGTTTTTCTGGGGATAATAAACCCTTCAAAGCAAAATAATGATTTGGTAGCTCAATCCAGACTGTTTAGGCACAGCTGTGTGCAATTGGCTGCTGCATTTCACCCATAAAATATACAGTCAATTCACTTTAACGTATATTCTGTGAAGTGCTTCGAGAAGTCTCCAAGTCGTGATAAGATGCTGTATCAAATTCAAGGATTATTATTATTTAACAATAATAACCAGAAAACAGTTAGGGTTATTGAAATGTTGCAATTGATAACAAACCCAAGACCTCCTTTCAATTCGAATATAAAAAATGTAATCAATGTAATTGTTGTCTTACAATGTAATTGTACTTAGTGGATTTAAAAGTTTAAACTGACGTGTCTGGATTTTGTTGAAAAAAACATTCTTGTCAAGGACAATTCCATTCTCTCCTCAATCAGAAAAGCGGCTGATAAGATAGAATTCAGAGACGATTTGGTATGAGATCTTCAGTTTGTAGTTAACACTTCTTTTCCCAGGGGAGTAATATATACTGGTGGCAACTGCAAGGAGATTGTATTAATGCAACAATATTATAATACCCATTATAATAAGGCATTGGTATTAGCAAATCAACAATATTATAATATACACACCCATTACTAACAAGGCATTGTTAATAGCAATACTTAAGCGTAAAGCACAACCTTGGAGAATATTGAATCCATTCCTTCCTTTTAACATTTTTTTTACACAATGCAGAAAATACCAGTCGCTTCAGATATCTTCGAAAGTACTTGTACCAGTATGAAGTGGAGACCTCCAATGGAGTGCCTGGGACTGCAAACTCACGCTCCGGTATCAAGATGTCTTGCAAAGTAAGTTGCAGGTTACATCGTTGCGTCCTTACATCCTACTTGTGCAACATTTCAAAATAAAATATTAACGAGGCATCTAAAAAAATGCAGCTGCCGAAAATGGTTTGGGCTAAATATAATCACAGTAATGATTATTTCAAAGATGCTTTTATTCAACGCAGTATTCTTTAACTCATTTGATGTTGATTGTTTCCTTTACTCAAACACGTCTGATACAATATTTGTTTGGATAAAAATGGAACATCTGGTATTTTTACAAATTGTCAAGTAATCACCAACTATGTTTAAACATGACTTGAAAAATCACAAAGAAAATACGTGCTTATAAATTAGTAAGTGTTAAAAATGGCTAAAAAATTTTTGCAGTTGATTGAAAATGATAGAAATTAGATGGCTGGTCATATGCAACCAGTTCTCTGGTTGATCATCTCACAGATGATCATCTGTGAGATGATCAATGTCTGGGATGTCGTAATGAATCTGCCTTCATCAGCAGTGGCTGAATGAGCTCTGATGTTTATCTGCCAGTAACAATATCCCACACAATCGCTCAACTCTGCCAGGAAAATACTTACAACTTTCTTTACATAGCTGTCACCTAAAATCAGTGTGCAGCTTTCTACTTGGTAAATTCATAGTTCTCAGCAATTCTCAAAGGAGTCGATAAATGCCGCATTTCACCCACAAAATATACAGTCAATCCACTTTATAGTATATATTGTGAAGCGCTTTGAGACATCTTGATATGATGAGGCGCTATATCAAATGCAAGGATTATTATTATTAATTTTCCCAATATTTCTTCGAGTGAATTTTTCTTTTAGACATATACTAGGAAGTGTGGCTGAATGGCTTTAGCTCACACAACATGATGTACCTTGCATGTGCGCAGGTTGTGTATCTCTCAACAGAGATGAACGTGAATGCAGAAACTCAATAGCTGTAACCTTGCCTCTTGTGTTTAGGTTGAACTGGAAGTCCCTCGGCACTGTGGGCTCATGATGCAGGTAAATCAGTGCAAACTGCAGGAGGTACACAGCATCAATGCAGATGGCAAGCCGATCTTCAAAAAATCTAAAGAGTCAGAAGACTTCCAGAAAGCCATGTCCCAGTAAGTAACATCAACCTTATCTCAGGTTTCTGTGCCGTGTGGATTTTTCTTCTGAAAAAGATATGAAACTGAGCAGTACAAGCTTTTCGGAGCTTTAACATAAGCTAATGCATGTTTACCTTAAGCTGACTAACAAGGCAGACCAGACGTTTCATGTAAACACAATTTCAGATTGCTTGTGTTGCTGAAGGATACATATAAGAATGTCAGTGTTAATTGGATGAAATGTCTTTTTCTTTCTCTCAGGTACGAGCTGAAATTCATCACTACATCAGAACGAATGGATGTTACCTTGTACCCACATCAAGATGAAACCACCAACATTCTCAACGTCAAGAGAGGTATCATTTCTGCCCTTTTGCTGCCAATGGAATCTAATGAAGACACACAAACAGTTAACATGGTAAGAAAGAGTATTTTATGAATAGAAGATATTTCAGTGCATTCAGTAAAATAAGTTACAATTAATTCCACATCTGAGTCACATAGAGTAGGAAAGTGCCACATTTTATCACCCAATCTATATTCACTTAGCTGATCTCAGCTAGCGCAGTAATATATTGCTACAATTGGCATCACTTTGGCAAAAATCAAGCAGGGTTCTGATAACAGTCTATCAGTGTTCCAGATGGAAGGTGCATGTGTGTGCATGTTAGGTGAGGGTAGGATTGATCTTGACTGCAATGCCACACTTTAGTCACATACCTTACCAACACTCACTGTTAACCTCACACATAAAGAATGTTCACTACAAGTACTGAAGGTTAAATTGTGCTTTTAGAACTTTACCCCAGCCTGGGTCAGTGCCCCCTAAGGAGAAGAGAAGAGGGATAAACATTTGAAAGGGGGAAAAATCAAATACAGAGTGATTTCTTTGAAAGAAGGTCTCAGAGCAGTACACAGGATTCACTGTAAAGTGTAATGGCTAGTTGGGTATGACAATTTAAGGCCATACATGGCCTTGCCCCCCATCTACCTCTCTGACCTGCTGACTCCCTACCAACTTGCCCGCTCCCTCCGTTCAGCGGGCTCCGGCCTGCTCCATGTCTCCCGCCCGACCCGCCCTACCATCGGTGGCCGGGCTTTCGGCCTCTCTACCCCCACACTCTGTAACTCCATCCCACAGTCCCTTCACCTCACTTTCTCCCTTGCCTCCTTCAAGGCCGATCTCAAGACCCTTCTCTTCGATTGTGCCTTTGGTCTCTGTCCCACCTCTTTCCCTTCACTTACCCCTACACCACCCCTCCCCCATACTCGGGCCCCGACACCTGACTGTTCAGTGCTTTGGGACGTCCTCCCGACGTGAAAGGTGCTCTATAAATGTAATTTGCTGTTGTTGTTGTAATGTTACTTGGTACAAAGTATTAAAAGATGGAACATAAGAATATCAAATTCAGTTCAATGAATGTTCTTTGATGTACCTGCAAACATTTTAATTATTTTTACTGAACTGGGCATATGAATCCCTTTTTCATATAGATTATAGCCCACTTTTACTGATAAACAGCTCTCTGCGAATAAAGTGCGTTTCGCCCACAAATATACGGTCAATTCACTTTACAGTCTAGTCTGTGAAGCGCTTTGAGACGTTGAAAAGATGTGAAAAGCGCTATATCAAATGGAAGGATTATTATTATTATTATAAAGTTAGGGAAACAAAACTACTACACTAAAATTAGAGATTTGTGCCATTAAATGTTTATAATGGGATATCCCATTTGGAACCAAAATATATTTGTAGCGATCAATGAACATTATATCCTGGTCTATACACTGCCTTCTTTCCTTGAAAAAATATTATTTCATTTCCTCGTGACGCAGGATTCAGTGTACGGCAACTGCACAAGCCAGCTGACAGTGAAGAACAGAAAAGGAGACACAGCTACTGATATAACCATGGGAAGAGATCTCACTCAGTGCAGCAGATTTACACCCATCACAGACGTTAGCAGCCCTCTAGCACTGGTTAGAGGATTGGTAAGAAAACAACAATATTCCCTTTCAGTTTCAGAATGCTTAAAAGAGTCACACAATGCAAAGTCATTACAGTCAAACTTGTTCAAACCAACCACCTCCAATGAGCAACCGCCCCTGTTAAGAATCACCCTGCAACAATCCGGACAGACCAGTTCACACATCAAGGAACCCTTACTCAGGGGCCACCCTTACATAAAGGTTACTTTGGCCTAATCCTCTAAGAGGTTGTTGAAGACAGGTTTGACTGTGTATATTTTTCTTTAAGGAAGAAATGTAAACCCATTATTTTTCTCTCTATATAGGATATGCCACTTTCATCCCTGCTGGGCAGCAGCCAGTCTTGCAAATATTCCCTAGATGTCAAGAGGAAGCATGTAACAGAGGCCACCTGCAATGAAAAACACATTTTCCTGCCTTACTCTCACAAGTATGTTAATCCACTATATAGTTGACAATCAATGCTGGTGACCAATTTCATATTTTAGATATTCCCTGTTGTAGAATTTTTGACTACAAAGCAACAAGGTAATTCAGAAATCAAAATCAAATGTAAAACACTGCAATAGCCAGCTCGAGCAGAAAACTGCAGTGTGCAACATGTATGGATTATGCCAAAGATTTATGCCTGTCAATATCCCAGCGACTTCCCAAACAAAATGTTAATAAGGGACACTGCTTTACTAGTTCAGATTTCATAAGGTAAAACCATTGATAGAATGTTATTGTTCTTCAAAACCATCAAAGGATGATATGCAAAATAAGCCATTAGTGCATTACTGCTTTGCAGCTGGCACATTCTGAATAGATCATTATGCTGTGAGCTTTATTCTTTATATATTGTAAAAGTTAATTTATAACAAATTTATTCTTCAATCTTGAGATTCCTGTTGACATTTAAAGTGGTCAGGTCCTTTACAAATCAGTGTGTTCTATATTATAGAATATATAAAAAGATTAGCTTGCAACAGAAAACACAGAATGAAAAAAAAGTTTATTAAGCCCTTTCAATGATTAAAAGTTGACTTGTTGAAAGTGCCGTAAATAACAAATCCAGTCAGGCAGTGCAGTCTCAAAATTAACCATTTTGTCTCCTTTTCTTATCAGAAACGAATATGGAATAATGACACATGTAAAACAGACACTTAAACTCAGCGAATTGCAACGGATCAACAGCCGATACTTTACTGAAGGTAAGATATGACTCCTTTATAACTGCACCGAAATTCTCCTTATCAAGTGTCTTTGTTGGGGTTCACATTTGGATTCACTAGAAGCAATTCAGAATTGCTAATGGGAATCCTGCCAATGTCCAGCAGTATGTCAAAGCTACTCATGAAATCTCCTCTCTTGGGCACCAAAAGTAGATCGTGAGCTTCTTGCGAGTTGGCCATTTACTGTTTGCTATGGGTATGATTCCTCATACAATCACTATTATTGTGAAATCCTACTTTTATTGCCCTAATACTTAATTTTGCTTTTACTACAGTGAACTTCTGATAGCTCATCACTCCAAGGGCAAAGAGCTCAGTGATTAGTTATCTGGAGTGACAAGTTAAGCATAGATCCTGTCCAGCCACAAGGGGGCACCGTGATTGGTATGGGCACTCGTTGGGAATGCATGCTCAGATCCATCGCAGAAGCCTCTGGCTATTTGAGGGCTGCACTGGATAGGGCAGGAGGCCATGGCATTGCCCTTCAATAGACCAGACGCCTCTGCAATGCAACTGAGCATTGCCCGTCCAATCTCTGCCAAGCGCCCATACCAATCACAGGATAGGGCAAGAGGCCTCCATGATGGAATGATCCATCTTATAGGATGAGTCTATCTCATCAATTTTACATTGTAAATACTTACAAGAGTTTCTAGAATACAACTAGTTACGTGTTAAGCAGAGCAACCACCAAAGCTGTGTCCCTGATTAACATTTTGTTTGGGAAGTCGCTTGGATATTGACAGCATGGCAATTTAAATGATAGTGACAAATTAAGCCAGAGTTGAGCTATCAGGAGTTTACTGTATTTACTGAAATGAATGGCAGATGGAGCATTAATGTTTTAACAATTTTTGATGTACGTGTTGCTCAGCAATGAAAAGCATTTTGGTAGATGTCAGATTTAACAGTTAAATGTGGAGTAAAGCTCTTTCATCAATGTATCTGAACTGAGCTCCAACACCACTAGAGCATACTCTGTAACACCAAGTACTAGTAAGTGCACTGGTGGCATGGTGAAAGTTTTAAATTTTTCACAGTAGACAACCTTCAGCTCTTTTGAGTGAGATAATTGCTTAGGTTTTGGAGATTAAGAGTCATTTTTAAATATTTTATCCATAGATGAAGCAAACGTAAAAGAACTGACGCTGGAATATGTTGATAGCAGAGTAAAGAGCACAGATTCTGCCCTGAAAACTCTACAGGAGCTGGTCAAGCAGTCGGAGACTGCTCAGAACCAACAACGAGCCAATTTGTTTCAAATATTTGTATCTGAATTGAGGAGCATGGAGAAAGATGCACTAAGGACTATCTTGCCAAAGCTTATGGAAACATCCAGGTAAAAAAGACAATCAGTTCAGTAATTGGACCAATACCTTCAGTATTGGTAGAAAATGCCTGACCTATTTGCTTTACTTACACTTTGGATCTCTTTCTTTTTGACAGCTCCATTACTTTGCAAGCTCTCCCTCAGTGCGGGACACCAGAATGTTTTTCAGCAATCTTGAAACTATTTCAAAGTGAATCAGCCTCTCCCCTGCTGACTGATGCAGTTACCTACGCCATGGGACTCATGCCTTCACCCTGTAAGACTAGAGTTCAGGAGACTCTCAACATTGCAAAGTATCGGCAATCACGGGCTACATTTTATGCACTGAGTCACACCGTAAGGAAGTAAGTACACTGGAAGCACGGTGAAAGATTTATACTTTGTTAAAATATGCTATAAAAATATACAAGCGCTACAAACTACAGTAAATCCAGTAAAGCATTTTGAGATATTTTGATGACATTATAAAACATTCTGTTAAATGCAAGGAGTATTATAAATAAAACAGCATTTTGAAGTAAATAAATCTTATAGGTTTGGAGAACAAATCTATCCCTTCCTCCCATTTCCTTTTTGTATTCTGTCCCACAATAGTTTCTGTTGTCAGGAGAAGTGACAGTGGCGAAGCCAAGTTTTCCAACTGGGGGCCGATAAGCCACCTTCCCATCACTGTCTGCTCTGTCTCTCACCTCCCGCTCTGGCTCTCTTCCCACCACTCTCCACATTGCCTCCTGCATCATTCAACCTTGTGAGAGGCAGCGCGGAGAGTGACGGGAAGAGGGGCGGAGCTGGAGGTAAAGGTGCCATACATACACCTAAGCCCACCAGGGACCCCATTACCTCCACCACTGATGCAGACTTGTCCAGATAGCTGTTGTCGGGCTGTTCCTGCAAAGCTTTGTTCCCTCCATGCACTGTGCCACATTGAAGTGCTCCATCTAGTGGATTGACAATGAAACTGCCAAATACTTCCAGTGCAAAGACAGCCAAGCAGCCAACCACCTTTTTATAGTGTTTCCCTACATAGCCAAAAGCTACGAGACATTTCAGTGTGAAAAGGCACTATACTAAATGCAAATATTATTATAATTCTGAATTTTGACAGTTGCAGAGAAATTTCAGTAGTTCAAATGATAAAGTTAGTATGACATCATCAACATTCTCAAATGTTCAACTTTAGCATTAGATCACCTTTAAGAAGAGTTAAACTTGTTATATAAATGGGATGCTTTTGACACATGTTTATAATTCCTATCAGTGTGATATTCCCATCACTAATGCTGTAATATTTATCTGTTAGGTTTTATAATAAGCAACAGACTGTAGGACCTGAACTGAAGGCTGTAGCGGATTACATGATGTCTTTAATTGGAAGTGACTGCTCTGGTGAGAAAGACAAGATCTACTTGACTCTAAAGGTAACTGTTTTGTAACTAAGAACAAAAGTTTTCATTGCCACAGAAACAACAGGATCAATTTTGCGAGATTTCTTGACAGGATTTCTTAATTAAGAATGCAAAAAACAGGAAAATGACTGACAAAGTCTATGACTCAACTCAATCCTATGGTTCCAACTCAATCCATTTTCGGAGTGGAAGTCAACATGATGCACTTTTGTTTACAGAAAACAACTCCTACTTAAATAATTAAGCAGGTTGCATTTAAGTACAAGTCAGAGACTTTTCTTAATTAAGAAATATTGCAAAATTTACCATAGTGCTTATAATAATAATAATCCTTGCATTTGATATAGGGCTTTTCACGTCTTCTAGACATCTCAAAGCGCTTCACAGAATATACTGTAAAGTAAATTGACTGTATATTTGTGGACTTTTCTTAAAGTCTTACAACCAGATTGAAAATTACTTCACACTTCAATCTGTTTCTTCTTCTCCAGGCACTCGGAAATATGGGAAAGGCAATGGAGAACGCAAATCCTGAAATTACACCTACTCTCCTAAAATGTGTGGTGAACTCTAACACTTCCCCCTCTATTCAGCAAGCTGCAATTCAAGCTTTCAGACAAATGACTCTGAATGAGGAGGTAATGCCACAAATGAATGTATTTTGTTATAAGGTTGTTAAACAAAGAAGCATTTTCATCTTTAGAATTATTACTTGAGATTTCGAAATGCAATATACTATGAGACATGAATTTCAAGCATTGGTCTTTTTCTGATATCTGCTTTTATGCAGAACTTTTGTGAGTTGATACCTGTTTAAGGTCTGACACACTGTTTAGAGTAGCCTATTAACCATTTAATTGTTAACACATTTATGTAGGTCTCTGTCAGCTGATAAGTTTAGTCATTTTCAGCTGGCACAGTCTGATGCTAAAAAAAACTAGTATTACAAGAAAGTATTACTAAAGTATTACTAAAACATCAGTCATATTATCTCTAACCTGAAATACATATAACACAATATTAATTAACATATTTTGTTAAAAATTTACTTGTGCTTAATTTTTTGCTTTTTCCTTCTATTTTTCTTTGACTTTTTTTCTGAACCATTTTTATTCAATCTCTTTGTTGCCTATTCTTAACTATTTATATTTTCAAAACCTACTGCCTCTGTTCCAACTCCCAACCTTGTGATGTAACCCGCGGCTCACTTACCTATCAATGATTTACTTCTAGGCGCGCAGTATGCTTCTTCAAGTGTATCTGGATGTAACTTCGCCTCTCCTGAAGAGACTGGGAGCTTACTTCATGGTCATGAAGAATCCATCAACAAGTGACCTTGGAAAAATCACAAGGAATCTGCCAACTGAGGAAAATGAGGAACTGCAAAGTTTTGTGTCCTCGCATCTGATTCATATTCTTCAGTCAGAGGAGCCCACAGTTCAGGAGTAAGTGAACTGCTGTATTAAAATGTTAGCCAACATGCCCACATTCAGCTAAGTGGGCACTGGTGGTGACGGTGTGGAATCAGCCTCACATTGGGACATTGTGCTGATAGTCTAAGATGACATTCTAGGGCAGTGCGGGGGGGAGTGCCGCATTGTTGTACATGTCGTTCTTCAGATCAGACATTGAATCCAGATCTCACCTGCTTGTTCAGTTGGACAATAAATATCCCATGACATTATCCAAAAAGAGAAGGGAGTTTCTCCCGATTCCTTGTCAACATTCCCCCAGATGAAAAAAAAATGATCATTCACTTTGTACCGGTTTGGAGTACAAGTTGTGCATGAATTGCTCTATTCACCTACAAATGCTGCACTTCACTGAAAAACTCTGCAAAACACTTTGCAACATTTTGAAGTGGTATGGCATGATATTCAATCCAAGGTTTTTTTAATATAATCTTCTGAATTATGAGCAATCTTATCTTTGCCACTTTTGTTTCCATGTTCCTGCAGCAATAATGTAGTTTACTTAAAGCTGAGAAAGAGAGGGCATTCCTTTCCATTCAATATAGTCAATTTCTTTGGATTGTCCTATCTAACAGTTGGACCTCGAAATTGTGGAACTGTTTGTATGTAGATAAATCTGTCATTGGCATTGCTGAGAGTTCTGAAGGAATTTGGGATTCTAACAATATTGATCACATGTGTCCCAATTGAATTCCTGAACTTGAATTTTCTTTTACAGACTAAAAAACAAAGTAGCCATAGTGCTGAAAGATCCACTAGTAAACCTTTCAGGATTATCCAGACATTATGAGGCATCCAAGAAGACAAATATACCAGGTTTAAAAGGGCCAGTGGCTGCTACGGTGCAAAGCAATCTCATTTTTGAATCATACACCAGGATACCAAGAGCAGTCATGCTGGAAACCACTCTGAATGCTTTTGGTCGCTCCATTGACCTTTTTGAGGTAGGAATATTTACATCTAATGCAATCCAGATTGAATTACTCATGGATTTAAAAGTTAGATCAAGAAAATATAACAAATAAATGAAACATAAATAATTGGATCTGAATAAAAGTAATAACTGTTAACTGTAAAGAATTAAAATATGACCAATTCAGTTATTGGAAAGTAATGTCAATTTAAATTAACTGGTTATTTTTACACAGCTTGGGCTTGACGGCAAAGGCTTTGAACCATCTCTGGAGGCTATTTTTGGTCTAGAAGGATTTTTCCCCAACAGCGCAATGAAGGCTTTGTATTGGGTGGATGGGAAAGTTCCAGAGAAGGTATCACAAGTGCTGTTCAATTGGTTTGGAGTCAGCAGAAACAGCGAAGCACCAAAAGATGTAAGTGTTTCTGAGTGATTCTCTTAATGAGTTTAGGAATTAATTTATTGGACTGAGTTATCTCATAATCACCCTGTATCTTTCTTGCCTGACACTCAATAGGGTCTGATGAAGGAACTCATGCTCAATTTTCAAAAAATGTTGAAGGAGATTCAGACACAGGCAGGAACACCAGAAGCAAATGCTTTCTTGAGAATACTCGGAAATGAACTTGGATATGTTAAATTCAACGATATCAAGCTGCTGGGAGAAATGCTATCAAGAAGTTCCAAGTACTTGCAGCAACTTCCAGTACAGGTACAGTACATCACCATACACAGAAGTAACATCAATGATATGATCAAAGTGAAATTGGGTCAGATTGTAAGATAATTGGAGGTTTTACAGTAATAGTTCCCATTAGAATAGTCGTTGTCTGTTGCACAGGGACATTACAAATGTACCCAGCTTCCCTGAACTCCAGCAGACCAGCCTCCCAGCCACCTAGATGGTTTGAAATGTTCTTCCAGTGTGAGAGACACTGTTTAAATGCCAATTGTTGTTATGTACAGTCAGAGACCAAATTTCTTTGTTACTACTATTGTATATGTATGTATACAACCTAAGATGAACTTACAATTTGTCATTTATCAGGCACATTTACTAGATGTTTTCTGAAAATTCAAGAGATATAGAAGGTGAAATATGTTTTGTTGCTAAATGTGGTCACTTTAATAATTTGCAATTATAATTCACCATTTATAAGGTCTTACACTGAGCAGTAAGTAGAAGTTCTTGTCCATCATTTGTAGGCAAGGCTTTATGTGCATACATACAAGAGCAGTGGGGTATTAAAAGAAACATCTGTTATGAAATGCCTGAATCAAAACTAATTACTATTATGAGTCCAAGCAGGTACTATGCTTCAATTATATTTTAACATGTGAATATCTGTAGTGTGATTTTATATGCTGCATACTTTTAATTTTGCAGATCAGCCAGGCTCTTTTAAAGGGGACAAGTGGTGACCTATTTGCCCACTATATTTTCATGGACAATCAATTTAACCTTCCAACTGGAGCTGGTCTTCCCCTCAAGTTCTCTTTGTCAGGTGTAATCGCTCCTGGTGCCAAAGCAGGAATAAAGGTTGAAAGAAAGCAGGTAATTTGCATTTTTCTTCAGAATATCCAGAAACTTTTAAAATGTACAGTGTGAATAATATGGTAAAATATCTCATCTGTGAATCTGTATTTTGTATTTAAAATGAAAAATAAGACTGAATGTAGATTGCTTTACAATTGGTATCTACATCAAAAGTATTCTTGTTGAATTTGCAAATCCAATTGTTAATAGAAGTCAATATTGTTTGAACATCAGGGAGACATGTTTATCAAGCCATCAGTTGGAGTGGAATTTGTGAGCCAACTGGGAGTCAATGTACCTGATTTTACCAGAAATGCAATTCAGATGAATTACAACTTATATCACGAGTCTGGTTTTGAAGCCAAGATCAGCATGAATAACGGTCAAGTTAAACTCACCATCCCAGCACCAAAGGAACCCACCAAGCTCTTCAGTATGAGGTACGACATAAATTAATTAATTGTCATCATACCATTCAAAATAAAAGTAACAATAATTTGGTCACTCAATCCACGACTGTTTTGTGGGATACTGCTGTCCGCAATTGCCTACCGTGTTTTGCCCACAAAATACACAGTCAATTCACTGTACAGTATATCCTGTGAAGCGCTTTGATACAACTCAATAGCATGATAAGGAGCTATTTCAAATGCGATGATAATTATTATGTTCATCAATATAATTAAAAGAAAGACGTAACTGTGGATTTAACAGATGTCACCTCTGTTCTCTTACAGCAATCGACTGTCGCTGTTATACAGTACAAAAATTGAAGACATCCCGTCCATCATGGAAAACAGACAAGAATGGAAATCCTGCAAACCACTGATCTCAGGCCTTAACCTATGCAGCAGTGCCACATACTCCAATGCAAGTTCAATTGACAATGCCCCCAATTATCCACTGACTGGTGAAACAAGGTGGGTAATGGGTCTATGTCAGATAATTCACCAGCATCTGAAAAATAGCAACATGACTGTATTGTTATGATTGTAATGAAAAGAGAAATGAAATGCCTCAAAATCATATTCGAACTGAAATCTCACATCCTGGTTTAACCAGTAAATATTTCCGAGCTTCAACATAGCAAAAATATTGGAGCTGAGGCTCATGGTCTAAATTGGCCCAGTGTTCTCTGTAGTTGAGAGAAGAAACCCATCCAGGGTTCCTAGTTCTGGCCTTTCTATAGCACCCTCTTTGTGCACTTTATGGCAGTCGAGTAGGAAGTTGAAGGGCTACTTCTCAGATATGGGGGGCAACCAGTGTCTATGGAACCACACCAGCAAGAGAGGCAGAAAGGTGGTAGGCGTGAGTGTGGTAGCAGTTTTCAGGATTGTTATGGTCATCAGTATTATTATGCTTCAGGATAGTTCATGTTTTATTTAATTCCAGGTTTGTGGTTGAGCTTGAACCTACTGGCACTGTAAATGAGTATTCTGCGACATTAACATATCAATCTCAAAAGAACAAAGGAGACCTAGAACATTCTCTGAAATTTGCTGTCCAGGCAGAAGGTAGGTTGTTCCTATCAATTCACAAACATAATGCATTGTGCTTCAAGTAAAAATATAAATTATATGGTTAACATTTTATTTGCATTTATATTTGCAAATAAATTTTAATATATTATATATAGTTGCAGCTTTAGATAGAAGTGACATGAACTGCTGAGTGGTTTTGTTGGTAAGTTTATTATCTTTATCATGCAAGCTGCAGCTCATTTTAACAGATTTTATGGGGAGTTATGAATTCAATTAGAAGAAAAAGCTACAATCCCATGACTGTCACTGATGGAACACTTTCTCCATCCTCAGCTTTCACCTGAACAACTCTTGTGAATTTATGATGTTTACAGTATTTTTAATTCACCAAGATATCTTGTTCAGTTTATCTGTATTTTGATAATCACAAATTATTTTCATTAAACAGGTGCTGAAGATACACAAGCTAAGGTGGAAATTAAATACAACACAAATAAGCATGTTGTTACAGGAGACATTCAGATTCCCAAATTTGATATGGAATTTGGTGTGAAAATGGGAATTCAAGATACATCTGCATCTGAAAAGATCTCATATGCTCTCAGCTTTAACATCACAAACAAAAATGTGCCTGAAGTAACTCTCATAGGACGTGTAAGGTATGTCTGAAATACTGTTTTCTACAAATCACTGTCATTACAATAATAACTGCAAAAAATCAGGCATTCCCATTTGATTCATTTTGGAAGTAATTGTCGTATTAGATATGCTTGAATAAAGCATTCGATAAATGTACAGAATATGCCACATGTCAAAGTATTGTAATGTGTTGATTTCATTCACTTATTCACCTATTTTCATAATATATAAACATTAGGGGGGGAAAGCCCCGTTTAATGCAATGTCATTACAAAGAGCTCCAAAGAACGTATGGCGTGGAAACAGACCACTCAGCCCAACCAGTCTGTGCTGTTCTTTTATACTCCACATGAATCTTCACCCATTCCTTACTTCCTCCCATACCCTCTATTCGCCTCTCCCTCATTTGAAGGTCTAGCTTCCTCTTGAATGCATCTACACTATCTGATTCAACCACTGCTTCAGGCAACGAGTTCCACAATCTCACTACGTCCTGCATGAAGTAGTTCCTCCTAAATTTTCTTTTAAAATCTCTAGATCCTATCTTATATTTGTGTCCCCTGGTTATGGACTCTCCAACCAGGGGAAACAGCTTATTTACGTTAACCTTATCAAATCCTTTTATAACTTTGAACACTTCTATTCAATCCCCCCCCTGGGATCCCCCTGGGATCCTGACCCAAAGCTGCTCATAATTTGGCTCAAATTTGCACTAAATTGATAATGTTTTTCATCAAAAGTCCTGAGAATAACAATGAAAACTAGAGAACAATTTCACATGGTCGTGTTTTTATGATGGCTCTGAGAGATTACAAGTGGTTAAAGCACATTGCTGGGCCGAAAGGAGGGAGATTCACCTTCCAATTCTGGCTTAACCTTTGCTTGCTAAGCCAGAATTGGAAGGTATCCATGTTGAAATAGGATGTGGAAAATAGAAACGTTTTCCATTCCCTAGCTCCAGCATCATCAAATGTAGATTGAAATAAATTAAAATGTTATCGAAAATGAAGTAGTTTTGAAATTCCACTGTAAGTACTTGTGCACAAGGATAAAGAATGACAATAAGAGAGTATGTCAATCGCTATAAATTCCTTAAAAAAAATGTGATCATTCAATCCATGACTGTTTGTGGGGCAATGCTGTGTGCAATTGGCTGCCGCATTTCTCCCACAAAATATACAGTTTATTCACTTTACAGGATGTGATGAGGCGCTATATCAAAATTAAAGGATTATTATTATTATAATGACAATGATGATAATAATTCTGACCTGTGTTTTTCTATTTTAAAGCTCTAGTGACAGGAAAGACATCCTTCTGCAAGGCCTCTTCTCCGTTCCTCAACTGGCAATGCAGGCAAACACCGATACTCACATTCAGCTTGGAGACAATTCATTCATTGCTGAGTTTGATGCAGCTGCCCTTATCCCTCATTCCAAGGCTTCACACAAAGTTAATTTCAGATTTGGTATGTAATTAACAATGCCAGCTTTTTTTGATAAATAGATTGACATTTTTCCCTAATTAACAATTCAATCTGAAAGTATTCTGCTAAATTGTCAAATGATCCTATAAGTTAGAAGTTTGTACAGTTATGTCTGTCAGTTTTCCATTATTCCTGTGATTTATGCTTTAACCTGTAAGTTTGAGGCAACTTGGGAACAGATATTTTAGACTAACAATGGAACAATTGTTGAGTTGTTTTAGATGAGCTAAAAAATGTTTTCATTCCATCTTTGATATTCTAAAAAGCTTAATAAAATGAAGTGGAATTATGATTTTAGATAAGGAAGGTGTCATGCAATGTATTCTTATAGTTTCTTTCAACTTATTCCAATTTGTTCCCCTCTTAGATTCCAAAAAGGCTCAAATCTCCTGTACCTCAGAGGTAGTATCTGATATCAAAACAATTCGGGAACAAATGTCAACTATCCAAATGCCTGATCTGTCTGAATATCCAGGGACCCTACAAAAGTACACTGATCAGCTCTTAGATCGCAAAGTGGCCCAAACTGACATGACATTAAAACACATCATTTCCAAAGCAGCAGTGGTAAGATGATCTTTTGGAACTCGGGGGTAGAAAAGTGATTTAATTGAAAAATACATTTAAATTGGTAAAATGTCGAGTCTAAGGTGGGATAAGGTGGGAATTTAATGAAATACACTCGGTTAAACAGATGAACCTGATCAACAAATTAAGATCCATATTATGTTAAAAACTGTAATTCCATTTCTGCATTGAACAAAAAGCCTCTAAGAAAAATGTTGTAATTCCTTACTTTTACTTATTCCTGTAAAGTGTTATTTCTGCATTAACTTATTTGTGCCTTTCACTCACAAAATACACAGTCAATCCACTTTACAGTATAAGCGATTCGAGATGTCTCAATGACGTGATAAAGCGCCATATCAAATGCAAGGATTATTATTATTTTTATCATCAAAATACTGTGTAAACATTAGAAATTTAATTTTACAGAAATCCTTTCATAAGTTAAAATGCATTTTTTTCCCCTTCGGTTACATTCACTTGATCTGCTCCCTGGTTTGATCAACTTTGAGAAGCATTTAGTCTTTCCATGCCCATGTGCAATGAATCCAAAACCACTGACCAATGATTGGACCTTCCCACCCCTTTCCCTCCTGTTCTAGCTTTTGTTAGGATTTTATGAATCCCGACTACTATGCAATAATGTGCTTCCACTGTATTGGCATCTTACTTCTCAGAAATGTCAGGCAATAATACTGTATTATAATACAGTAATACACAATAATCCTGTTTCTGGCAGGCAATGAACACTTGGCTGAAAAGGGCCTCTGAAGATGTTCCATATGCTGCCACCCTTCAAAACAAGCTGAAGAGTCTGCAAGACCTGAACTTTGAGAAAATGGGATTATCTTCCATTAACCTTCCTGAAAAATTATTCCTGAAACAGTAAGTCTGCTTCAACCTATGCAAATAGCAGCCTTTACATGACATTGCATTATTTGGGGTTATTTTATATTTTTCAGGGTAGTTTTTAAACTTTTCTCAACAACATGTCATTTCAGAATTGTTGAATAAAATACATTGCTTTACCCAACACAATATTAACGTGCGAGAGGATGGCTAATACAGATTCAAAAAAAATGTAGACATATGCATCATGTGTACAGCCTTTACTTGGATAGTATTTTTTGTCAATAAAATGTAACTAAAACTCTTTTCAATGAGGTTGCGTGCCTGAGTCTTCATGGAAATAACCAGTTCAAAACAATGCAGAATCAGGATGCCTTTCACATGATAGATACTGGTGCAAATGTCCAACAGTGCAAATTATGATATTTGCAATTTGCTGACCTAAGATAAAGTACTTAAATCTTGTCCTTAAAGTCACAACAGATGTTTTAGGTGAATTCCACAGCTGTCATTTAAAATGAGAACTATTCATTGTTTTTTAAATGTTCTTATAGCATATTTAAGCCACCATAAGAGACGAGTCTCCTATCTTTGGGCCATTGTTTGAGTTGTCAAAGTAATTTGATAAAAAAATATTGGAACAATCACATTCCTCAAACAAATATGAGGATTTGCAGTTCATTAAACTCCAGCCCAGAGCTTCAGAGGAATTCACTAAGTTGAAAACAGGAATAAAAGCTTATAACAGCAACTCACAACAGTGAACTAGAATTGTACTACTCCAGGAAAGGGGTGGGCCGAAAACAGAATAGTGCTTGTGTATTTTCAACTTGTGCCTCAGGCAATTCAAAGCCAAATGCCCATCTAAAGTGCATATGGTAATTGAAACTGATATTTAAAACCATTAGTTCCCTCCCTGTATGTGGAAATCAAAAGTTCTTTTAGTGGAGGCATTACATTTCTGTTTATTAATAACGTCAAGCTGGTGTGTTCCCCTTCAAAGAAAGAAAAATATACCAATCTATTCAAAATTATTTAAATCAATAATAATTGTGTACAATAATACAACAACAAAATTACATTTATAGAGTGCCTTTCACATCCGGAGGACGTCCCAAGGTGCTGGAAATAGCTGTGCAGCACTAACGTAATAGGAATAATATGTAAATATTCACACTTATACATCAGTAGGTTTCTATATTTTGAAGAGAGCTTCAATGTTTTGCCCACAAAATATACGCTTTACAGTATTTTCTATGCAGCGCTTTGAAATGTCTCAACGGTGTGATAAGGCGCTATATCAAATGCAAGGATGATTATTATTATTATTAATGTGTTTCAGGGTAATTTCCTAGATCTTTTTCTCTAAACTTCCATAAACTTTTGCATTGTTTTCTTTTGCAGTCATGGCTCCTCGAAATGTACGTTCAGCAAGGAGAAAATGTCCATCACCATTCCAATTCCTTTTGGAGGAAAAGTAACTAAAGAAATGCAAGTGCTTCCAAGATCATTCCGAACACCAGCAGTGTTAGCTTTAGGATTCAACATCCCATCCAAGGAGTACAACTTACCAATAAATTCCATTCCATCGATTACTATTCCTGAAGAGCACACACTCCGCTTTCCTTCAGTTAGCAAACTGGAATTCTCCTCAAAGCTGAAGAGCAATTACTACAATTGGGACGGAACCTTCTCAGGTGAAAACATGTCAAAGAAGGATGTAACCCAGATTACTGCTAATATGAGTGTCAAGGCAGACTCTGCACTGGATCTTCTTTCTTATCAGCTGAAAGGTAAGAGATTCTTTCGCAGAAATTTTAATTTCTTTGGGTTGCTGTATTGGTGAAAACTTAATCGTGGTTTAAGGTACTGAGTTTTCAAATGTTGAAACCTATTTCACTAAGCTTCAAATGACAAGCCGTAAAGTTATATTTTGCTTTATGGCAGATTGATGATTCTTGATTTAAATGGCAATGGATTTCAATACATCTGGGAATGTAATGTATTCTATTCTGCTTGTAAACTGTAGCTGATTCAATTTGGCAACCTTAATGCCATGTGATTGGAAACAAATGAAAATTCATTTTTTCTTTCAGTGAAAACATTGTTGTTTGGGGTCAGAGCAGCAAAGGCACAAATTAACAGCAGAAATACAATTAGGTGCATTGTCCCAGGTGCTAAATATGACCCATTAACTAAATTTAATCTGTATTAAGAGTGAGCTAGATGGTGTAAAATAGCAAATTAACAAGCAAAAAAAGGGATGACTGACAAATTACCAATTCAACTTAACTTTCTAATTTTTGAATTATAGCACTTGTTTTATATCAATTCCACTTTATGTGATATTTTTTGAATTGCTTATGCTGAATTAGCATAATTACAGTAATCTATTCCTGTTCCTAAATTCTGTGTCCTTATGCACCTTTGAACTGTAGTTTGAAAACTCCTACTCATCAATTTGACAAATACCTTTACCATGGTGATAAATTTCTGTAGACAACCAGTTACTATTTTGTAATAAAATATATGAATTTAATGTTCTCTAGGTAATGTACTTGCAAGCCAATATACAAAGCAGATTACGACTGTGACCCTTGATGGATCACTCCAACATACACTACTTGAATCTTCAATACATCTCAGTGAAAAGTTGGATACATCAGCTGAAAAGAAATCTCAGTCAAGCTTTACATGGGAAGCATCGAGCAGCGTAGGAGCCAAAGCCTCCTTGTCATCACAACTTCAACTGGAGACCAAAAATTCAAAACTTGAAGCACAAGGAAATGTCCGAGGGATATTAGCTGTCTCTTCATATCAATCTGCCTGGAATTATACCACCACTTCCACAATTGATACCCAAAACTACGAAGCTGTAGGAAATTCAGTTTTAGATTTTAACTCACCCCTACTTCAGGTTAGCAACACAATTGATGGTGAATATACTAAAGGGGTTTTCTCAATCAATTCAAATACTGGTTGTTCCTATTTAAATTTTAAAAACGTCCTAGGTGTGAAGGTGACCTCTGAAGAAGCTGAACTGAAATGTGATACTTCAGGCCAGGTTGACAATGGTAACCTGATCAGTAACATAAAATGGATGGTCAACAAGAATGGCTTTAAGACAGAAAACAAACTGAAAGGTGAACTGTTTGATGCTAACTTGGAAAATGTAGCTCTGCTAGAATACGGTAATAGTCTTCTGAGTCTCTCATTGGACACAACTGGAAGGTACAAGGCCATGGAGACAAAGAATAAATTGGATTTCACTGCATCAATGCAGCAAATGGACGTTCGACATGAGTGTCTCGCAAGCTATTCTGACAAACAGTTGCACAACATCCTGACTGGCACGTTTAACCTTCATGGTCTTGAGGTAAATGCTGACACTAGATTGAGTGGTGGAGCAAGCCAAGCTGCCAATAAGGCAACTCTGAAAATTGACACCAATGGTCTGACAACTGGTGTGATCTCCAATGTACAGATAAGTCCTTTGAAGCTGCAACATACATTCAACGCTGCTGTGGACGGAACAAAAGCAAGCATGAAGTTAGACGCAACAGGCCAAATCAGTGAAAATTCAATACGTTTGATAGCAGAGGGAACAGCAGACAACAGAGGAATAGTTGCCAGTACTACATATCAAGGTGATATTTTGGACACAAACTCAAACAATATTGTCAACTTTAAACTGAATAAGGAAGAAGGCCTGGTGTTTAATACAAAAACCCAGGCATCATACGGAGAGAATAAATTGGAACATAAGAATGAATTGTCCGTTGCTGGTTGGTCACTCAAAGGCAAAATCCAAACTGATAGTTCTCTAAGTTGTGGAAGCAAATACAAGCACATGTGTGAGGTGGAGATGAAACCTTTCACAGTTTCATTTGATGTAATAAACAATTTCAAGTACCGAGAATTAGATGTTACCCACAATGGACAACTAGTGCTGGAACCATTCAAGATCAACTTTAAGGGAGACCTGAAAGGATTACACAAAAGGAATCAAGTGACACATACGTATTCCATTCAGTACGCCGATTGGGTAGCTGCGTTGAGCACAAACACAGTTGGAAATATAGAAAGTGCAACCATGAGACACAAGGTGGATCTCAAAATTGCTGGACTTTCCGCCAAATTCTCCAGCGACTCCAACTGTGATTCAAAATCACTTCAATTTACAAATCGCATACGCTCTGCAGTTGTTCCTTTTCTCTTCACCTTTGAAGCTAACACCAATGGCAGGGGATTTATTAACGTTCTGGGATCCCATAGTGGAGACCTCATCAATAAGTTCCAAATGAAGGCAGCACCACTATCCCTCATATTGGTTCATGACTTTATAGGAACGTCTCAACTTCATCTGGAAAGTGAAAACCCGGCCACAACACTTCTGGAAAACAAGTTAAATGTCATGCTGAATCCATCTGAGCAGACAAGCACATGGGGGCTAAAAAGTCAGTTAAACAGGAATACTTATGTACAAAATATCAATGCCTATAATAATCCAGAAACAATTGGTATGGACATTACAGGTCAAGCAATGGTTGATCTAGGAATGCTCAAATATCCAGTTGCTATCCCATTCTCCTCAAATAAATTGTATTTACTTTCTGCGTTGGGTCTGACAAGTGCCGATATAGCTGAACCTAAAGAACTGCAAATTTCAGGGAGCCTTCAATACGATAAAAGCAAAGATGCCCATGTTATTAACATACCCTTCTTGGAAAATCTGCCCATTTATTTTGAGGAATTTAAGGGTGTCATTGTAAGTACGCTGGAGTCCATTCAAAATTACCTGAAGAATTTGGACATTAATCAGTTTGTTGAGAACTACAAGAAAACCCTAGAGAAATTTCCAGGCCAAGTGAATAATTTCATTAGAAAATTGAATTTAGAACAGAAGATTAATGATGCAAGAGAGAAGATGTTAAGTTTTGCAGAGGAATATAGAATAACAGAAGAGGATCTTGAAGTTGCGTTGAAGCAAGCTCAAGTGTTTTACCAAGATGCAATTACCCAGCTGCAAACATACCTGACAGATCTGAAGGACTTTCTGCAAAAGTATTACAACAACTACGAAGTACAGAAAGCTATTGAAAATCTCATTAACCAACTCATGGAAACACTAAGGGCTATTGATCAGCGATATGAAATAACCCAAACATCTATTCGAACCCTCACTACCCTACAGGATGCTCTCCAGAGGTTTCAACTCAGCAAATTACAAGGTGATGCTGTGGCTTGGCTCCAACACATAGATGAAAAACACCAGATTCAAGTTCAGCTTCAAAACACATTACAGCAGCTAAAGATGCAGATCCAGAGCATTGATTTGGAGGAAACAGCAAATAGATTGAAACAACAAATTGCATCAATCAATGCTGATGAGGTTGTTGACAAACTGAAGGAACTTTTGAATGCTGAGAAGTTAAATGAACTAATTGACAAACTCAAAAGGGTGCTTTTGATGCTGATGGAGGATTATGAAATTATGGACAAAATTAACAGCATTAATACCAAGCTGCAAGAGCTGATTGTTAAGTATGATGTTGGAAAACTGTCTCAGAATCTTTGGGATAACACTGTGCAAATCATTAAGAAATACAAGGTTAAAGACATATTACAAAAAGCAGCAAATATTCTGAAAAGCATAGACATAAAATCATACACTGACAGCCTCATTCAAAACATCGATGAAAGCATGAAACAAATAAAATCATACAACTATGAGGAACTGATTGGGAAAATCAATGATTTGCTCAGCACACTTATCACAAAATTAAAGGAATTTGACTACAATGTATTTGTTGATGAGGCAAACAAAAGGATCCGTGACATGACCAGGACAGTCAACGATAAGATTCAGGATTTAGAACTACCACAGAAGGTTGAAGCTGTGAAAGACTATGTACAGGCATTGCAATCAACAGTAAGTGAATACCTGGAAACGCTCAATCAAAAAAAGCTCAGTGAACTGATCAAGCATTTGTCAGATATTTTTAGAAGCATTGGCACATCACTGCTTGAAGACATGATTACTGGATTTCAGTACGTCCTCGAGGATCTTGAAGAGAGGTTCAGTAGAATGAATATTCAACAGGAACTGCAATGGTACTGGCAGCAAGCTGTGCAATCCTACCAGAGAATCAATGGGCACCTCTGTGACTTGTACGATAACATCGCAGAACAACTTAGCATTTGGGCTGAAAGATATCAGTTACAAGATTTGCTGACTCAATTATGTAGCTACTTGGAAGAAGGCTTTGTTGTTCCAGAATTGAAGACCAGCCTATTCACTGTGCCTCAATTTGAAGTGAGTCTTCAAGCTATCAGAAGAGGAGAATTTAACACGCCAGCATTCACAGTTCCTTTAACAGACCTGCAAATACCATCTTTCCATGTAAACTTGAAAAAGCTCAATAGCATCACCATTCCTACTCGATTTACCATTCCACAGTTCACGATCTTGAAACTAGTGACTGTCCCTGACATTACAATCGATTTAGAAAAAATTAAAGAGTATATTGTCTCAACAATTAACAACTTGCGTCATTTTGATATTTCAGTACAAGAAATCAATTTACTTCGAGATATTCCTTTTCCAGTTATTTCTTTACCAGAAATAAAGATCAGCGAACTGGATTTCAGTGCACTAAATATACCTGATATCAGAATCCCCAAACTGAATTTGGACAGCTTCAATCTGAATGACATGCAAATTCCAGACTTCCAACTTCCTCGTATACCTCACACAGTTGTGCTGCCCGCTTTCGGAAAACTTACTGGAACCTTCAATATCTCATCTCCTGTCTACACCCTGATGGCCAAAGCTGGCATTCACAACAGTACAACCAGTCAAAACAGTCCAGTAGCTCTCGCTTTTCTTACTGCAAAAGCCAAATCTACAGCAGAGATCTTGTCCTTCAACTTCGATGCTACAGCCCGCCTGTCAGCGCCTGAGCTTCAGCTTCTAAAATTGAGTGAAAGTATAAAGCTTGAACACACAACTGTCAGAATTGACCACATGGGAACTTTGACCTTCACTGCACCATCTATTGATGGAAAATCTGAGACAACTGTCAAGATCGTCAGTGAAGCCTATAATGCAGAAGCCAAAAATGTTTTATCAATGAGCATACGACAAGGACTTTCCACAAACATGGAGACAACCTATAACCACAATTTCAATGTTCCTCAGGCACAGATATCAAGTCAGGTTACAATGGTTAACATTGTAAAAGGTTTGGCTCAACAAACAAGTGCAACGGTATCTGTGACAAATACAGGTAGTGGAAGATGGTCTGTAAGGACTTCTCTGATGAAGGCACACACAAAAGTGAACTGAAGCTAAACCTAAGAGAAACTGTCGCAGTAGCTACATTCTCAGGTGACACCAGTACCAAGTATATAAAGATGAAGCAAACTTTCACATCTGAGGTTAGTTCGTTGTTTCATGCCAAATTTGCATTGAATGCAGACACAGATATTACAGATGTTGGACATAGCTTTGTGAATGTAAGTGGAAAAGGAGAACTTGGAGATCTGAAAATGGAAGTAACAGCATTTCACGATGCTAATCTTTCTGGCCGAGCGGCAGGTACACTTAGTAATTCACTTAGCTTCACAGCACAACCGTTTGCAATTCACACTTCAACAAAGAACAGGGCAATTCTGAAGGTTTCCTTCCCTTTGACCCTCATCAGCAAAATAGATGTATTGAATAACTACGAACTGACTCTTACTTCAAACAAACAACTGTGCACCTGGCAAGTAAGTACTAAGTTCAACCAGTACAGATATCATCACGAACTTTCTGTAGGCAATGATGAAGAAAGCATAACTGCGCAACTTGGACTGAACGGCGATGCAAATCTTGATTTCCTGATCACACCGATTTCAATTCCTGCTGTTACTCTTCCTTATTTATCAGTCAAAACTCCTGCAGTTACTCACTATTCTTTGTGGGAACAAGCAGGACTGAAATCCCTCTTGAAAACAACTCGCCAGACATTTGACCTTAGTATGAAAGCTCAGTACAAGAAGAACAAGGATATGCACACCTTCAAAGTAGAACTGGGACCGTTTTACAGGATAATTAATAACTGCATTAAAAAATCTACGCAAAGTTTTGAACAGAGCAGGGACAAAGCTTTGAATGTACTGGAAGCATCGTACAATAATGCCAAGGCTAATTATGATGCATTGCGAGTAGATTCTAGTATAAGAAAACTGCCAAAAAATCTTCATATTCCAGGATATACTATCCCACTATTGAATATTGAAGTCTCCTCATGTACAGTCGAGCTTCCAGCTTTAGGTTTTGTTACACCTAGAGAGATAACGACACCTACCTTTACATTGCCCATTATTTCCTTCGCTGTGCCATCATACAAACTTGTGGTACCATCTCCTGATTTGCCACTATTACAGATACCTTCCAGTCTGTACAGGCTGTCACTTCCAAAAATCAAAATGCCACGTATTCAAGATTCCATCAAAATCCCTGCTATGGGCAACTTGACTTATGATTTCTCATTCAAATCAAGTGTAATAACACTCAGTGTTTCTGCTGGACTCTTCAACCAATCAGACATAGTAGCCCGTTATGGTGCCTCTTCTTCATCTGTCTTTACTTCAGATTTCAAAGCAGAGGGAACAACAAGTCTAACAAAAAAGCGAGGGTTCAAATTAGCTACAACAATATCTGTTAATCATGACGCCATTCAAGGAAAGCATGACAGCACTGTGAGTTTCACCAAGAGGAACATGGAAGCTTCAGTTTCCACTGAAGCACATGTCAAACTTCCTCACATGACTCTTAATTTGAAGCATGATCTGAGTGGAAACACTAAATCTAAGCCTAATGTAGTGTCAAGAGTGTCGCTGGATTATGGCCTTTCATTCTTTTCACCAGACATCAGTACTCAAGGAGCAGTTACACATTCTCTCACCATGGAAGGTCTTACATCTTACTTCAATTTGGAAACTACAACAGATGCTCAGATTAAGGGAAGTCTTTCTTCCAAAAAGAAATATACTGGTGTTGTGCACAATGAAGCAAATGCCTACCTCAATTCAAATGGTGCTCGTGCCAATGTGAAACTTCAGCTAAGTTCATTAGCGGATAGTGCTTCTGTCAACATTTGGAACATTACAATGAATGAAAATCTGGCTGTGGATGCTTCGACCAAACGGATTTATGCCCTGTGGGAGCATACTGGCAATAATGCACTGAAACTACCAGCACGAATGTGGACACATGGCAGTCAAAAATCAAGAGCAACATTTGAGATGGCACCTTGGAGTTTGACTGCAAATTTGCAAGCTCAGATGGAACAACCAAGTAGTATAACAAGAAAAACAGATGTGCAACTTGATTCAACAGTTAGCATCAGCCCAGAGAGCCAGATATTAAAATTGAATAGTCACGGACACTGTGGTTCATCAATATTAAGTCATGAGGTCCAATTATCAAACAACAAAGAAGATGTACGTCTTGACATGGCTGGTTCCTTGCAAGGAAGTGCACATTTCCTGAAATTAATCACACTGCCAGTATATCAAAAATCATTGTGGAATATATTGAAGATGGATCAGACTATCAGCACATCCCAGAAGCAGTACTTAAATGTATCTACATCAATAGTATGCACAAAAGGTGAAAACATCTTTGTTATTCCTCTACCAGTGCACATGTTGTCAGATGGTGTCAAGATCAATCTCCCTGAAGTTACCCTTTACGTCCCAGAATGGGTAAAATCAGTACCAGGTGTAATTCATGCCACCCTTCCAGATGTCCCTAGGATTCCTGAGATTCCTGATGAAATCAATGTTCCAACATTTAAAATCCCAGGGATGAACATTGTCGTACCATCATATACATTCAAGTTATCAGAGGTTAAGCTGCCAACAGTAATTATCACCCCCACATTCAAAGTTCCATTTACTACACTTCAGATACCATCATATACCATTGACCTTACAGTGATTACTATTCCATCCAAGATCAACACTCTTCCATTTGATGTGACTTTGCCAGCTTTACCTACAATAAGATTTCCAAAAGTAAGCATTGCTTCCAAGTATCTTGAAGTTGCTGAGTACAAGATCCCGTATTTTGAAGTGACTGTACCTGAATTCCGAATCACCATTTTGCCGTTTTCTCTACCAAAATCCTTCAGCATCGATGATTATTATGTGGAGTTGGACAAAATTACAAATTACATAGCAAACTTTGATCTGCCAACAATAACAATCCCAGAAATGACAGTGGAGATTCCACCACTTATGATCAGTCTGCCTACAGCACTTTATTTGCCAACATTTAAGTCTTTGACTGGAAATGTTAAAGTTTTATCCCCAATATACAACACGACATGGATTGCAAGTGTAAAATCTACATCAGAGGAAAATGCAGATATCATCTTTGTTTCTGCATTGGATGCAACTTGCAGTTCTACAATCCAGTTCCTGGAGTATGATTTGGATGGTATGTTTGAAATGCAGCATTTTGTCTAGCAACTCGATTCTATTAATGATTAATTGTCTTAGTTTGTTTCACCTTTTTCCTTATGATTTTTCTCAGTTTCCAGTTACTGATAACCGTCATGTGAATTGTCCCTGGATAATAATATTGCTGCACCTTATTTTTTAAATACTTAAATATCTCATGTCTAAGACCTATTGAAATAATTAACTTCAGTTGAATGTTCAGGGTTCATATTCAGTTCAACCTCTGTACAATTAAAAATAATGAACTCAGTTTGACAGGTATATTATATACACACACAAAACCTAGATCCATACATCTATAACAATACATATGAAGAGTTGAGAAGCTTAAACATCAACCATTTTCCTTAAAATATCATATTTTCTATATTTTTGACAGGAAGTGCAACAATCACTGCCAAAGATGGTTACACTTTTAAAGGAAAGTACACATTGTCCCATCGTGATTTCAGTGTTGACTGGCAACAGAGTCACAATTTTCTGGGTCCAAGGTAAGGAACTGCATTCGCGGTCTCATAGCTGCAACATTTAACCTTCTGCCTTATATCGATGTAAAAAAACATGAAGTTTACCGGACTCTTGGTAGGGTGTTATGATAACAATTCAGTGTATTATTTGGTTCTATTACCTAAAAATGACAATAACAGAGTGTATTATATGGTTCCACAGAAACTTCTCTCTGAGTTGACCACATACAAGGTGTGTCAGAAGTCAAATATATCCTCCTAAATATAATCAAAATTCTACAAAATATTGGCACTAGACTTTATAGTAAAATCATGTGAAACACTTTAAGATGCCTTCCTGACAAGAAAGGTTCTACGTCAAATGTAATGAATGTTATTATTACCTTTGCTTTTCTCCTGTCTTTTTTGGATGCCCTATCAGCTGACTCTAACTAACTACTTTTATCCAATTCGCACCTGTGAACTCCCACCAAAAGATTTCCATCTTAGTAAAACTGAGTATCTCCATTGGATTCATTGAATCAATATTTGTGACATAATCAATCTTTGTGGCATAACCCCATTTCATTTCATCTGTCCTTCAATGTTAAACAAAAGACCTGTCTGCCTGATCAGGTGGAAGTTAAAGATTCCATGGCACTATTCAAAAAGAGAAAGGAGTTTCTCTCTCCTGGTGACCTGGCCAACAATCCCCTTAAATAAAATCAGTCACTCACTCCATGGTTGTTTGTGGGACATTGATGTGCGCAACTGTGCTGCCGCATTTGCCTACAGATAAGCAGTCACTCCACTTCATTGTGATTTCTGTGAAGTGCTTTGAGACATCCTTCCCATGTGATAAGGCGCTATACCAAATGCAAGGACTATTATTATTATCTGTTTCTATGCTAATGACATTTTGTTTCAATTCTACAACAATTTACATATGCTTCCATTCACTTAAATTGTTGTTTTCTTTATTAGAATGGCACATCAGCTGAACATAGATGTCATCAGTCCAATTTTCACAGATCTTAGTGTTCGCTGCAATGGGAATACTGGTAGAATTTCTTCATCAGTTTCCTCTTCATCTGCTGGATTCCTAGGAATGATAATTGAAAAGCAGGGATCAAAAGTTCTGTATGGAAAGCTGTACGCCCACAAAGTAGTAAGTAACTTTATTCTTATGAATGAGAAAAAAACAAACTTGAATTTGCAGTTTCTATTTTATGGGTCACCATACAAAATAGGTTCTCAGTTTATGTAGAATTTACAAAGCGTTACAAAGAAAGCGTGGTACAGAAACAGGTAATTTGGCCCGACCAGTCCATGCTAGTGTTTATACTTTTATACTCTCTGGATATAAAACCCCAAACTCCATTGACCTTTTTTAAGAAGACCTTTCTAGAAGCATCATTATTATTTTGAGCCTCTCATGTACCACTTTATTAATTCAATATTCAATAAGAGTTGATATGAAATTTAAATTTCAATAAGAGTTGATATGAAATTGAAAGAAACTAATTAGGTCTGAATTACTTGGATATTCCAATTCTGCATTATATATACCAAATAAAGGTTTGTAAGAAGTCTTTACAAGTATTATAAACCTGCTTATTTTGCCTTCTGCAGTCATCTCCTGAAACAGATATAATTCTTCTGGATGGCAAGGTTTTCCTGGAAAATCCTGAAAACATTGAACTGCAAGTCAACTGGAAAAAGGATGTTGCTGTAGATATGCTACATGGTCTAAAGGAGAGAGTACCTAAGATGACGAGAGCTCTATATAACTGTGTGAACAAGTATCACAAGGAACAATTTGGAATGGAGTTAAGTGTTGCCTCGTTGAAGTTGAAGGAATCAATCAATGCAAATATCAATGAAGCATACAAAATAGCAGCCAATCAAATGAATGGAGTAGAAAACCAGCTCCAGACCACTGTTGATGGTGTCACATTGGAGTATAACCAGATGAAACAAACAGCAAGGAAATTGTACAAAAGAGCAGCAGAAAGAGAATTCAATGATGCTGATTTATTATTGGCTATACCAAGAAAAAATTATGAGCGGGTCATGGACTTCCTTGATGCAGTCATTAGTTTTGTAAGGCTCTCCAACTTTCAACTGCCAGGACTTGATCGCCAGTACACAGGTCAACAGTTGTATGACATGGCTTTGAAAAACACAGCACAATTCATAGAGGAAGTCATTCAAAAAGTTGATAACATTGTGGAAGGATATCTTGAAGCTGTGGTCAAGTATATCGAACAGTTGGAGATCAAAGTCCCTTCTACTGGCAAAATCATCAAAGGCTCAGAAATCCTATCAGAATTGAAAGAATTTCTAAGAAAAGTTCAAACAAACATCCTTGAAGCTTCAAATCAACTGAAAAAAGCCAATTTTGAACAACATGTAAAATCAGTAAAAGAACATATGCACACCAGCTATAGAAAAATTGAGTCAAAGCTCAGACAGCTGCATGACATAGACCTTGAAACCATGAAAGATCAAGTTCAACAGATGTACATCAATGTAATCACCTCACCATATGCAAAAATGTTGCATTCAGATAATTTGAAAGAATACATTTCCAAACTTCTTCAACTAAGCCAAACCATGTCACAAGTTCTTCTCGAAAAGATTCAGGCAGCAGGCCTCTATGTAAAGGCAATACGTGAAGAGTATTTTGATACTTTCTGGTTTGGATGGACTGTCAAATATAATGAAATTGAAGAAAATGTAATCGAGATGTTAAAACAACTGCTGAACTATATAAAAGAAGAGGGTCCAAAAATAGTGGACAAGATTGTGACATATGCCAATCATCTGAAGAAGGAAACAAGAGGATTCATTGAAAATTCTGGTGAAAATGTTTACAAATACCTTAAAGACATACAAGCTAATGTAGAAAGAAAAGGGGGTGAAAAATTCAATGAATTTTCTCGAATGCTCAAATTAAAGTTGAAAGAGGTATTTGCAGAAGCCGGGAGGAAGATGGCTGAATATCAAATGATAATGAAAGACAAACTGCAAGAGGTTTATGAGCAGCTTACAGAATCATATGAAAAGTTAAATGCCCAAACACAAATTGCAATTGATCTTTGCGTTGAAAACTGCAACAAATTTATCCAATCCATATTTAAATTTTTTGAGTCAATTTCTAACACAGCTCAGCCATATATGGAAGTTCGCCCTGGACATCTTACACTAAATTTCCCTCACCCTTTTAAATGGGAATCATTTGATGAAATGCCACAATTGAGAGAAGATGCAATTAGTCAATTAAATGGAACCATTTCCAAGGGATGGCAGGCACTAAAAGGAAATGATGATCTGACACAGGCACTCCAAAAGAGCTATGAAAAAGCCAAACGTCTCCTCGATGAAAAAATTAAGAACAAACAATAAGCAAAGAATAAAATTTCAGTTGAATATTTAACATTGTTTTGAATCAAGCTTTAAAGACTATTAAGTAGATGTGAAATTTTGTGAATGAAAACAAAGAATCTTCTTAATAAACCTGTGAGTTCTTGTGCATTTGTTTAATTGTGTCAATATAAAATACATGGAGGATTGCATATATGTAAATTATACTTAAATGAAAAAAATGAAAACATTGTAAATGTTTGACAGCTAAAGGGGGAAAAAATCATAGGAACAGGCATGTAAAATATTTGTCACTCTCAGATTACACTGATGCAAAATCACTTTTTAAAGTAATTTTATATGTAGTTTCCCTTTAAAAGAACAACAGCTCTGTAATCATTTGGTTTGCATTTTCCTGATATGTGTGTTTTCACGTTATTTAAAGATCTGTGGGTAATTCACAAAGTTTGTTAAATTTAGATGATCGGAAAAAACATGGACTAACTAACCAAAGTCAGTAAGCGATAGTAAACTAACAAAATACCCCATTGTGCTTTACAGCATTTAAAAGTTCTCAATAAAAACGAGCAATACATTGAGATTGAAAGCTTATGGATGATATGTTTTTCAAATGTCCGTTACAAGAACATTACATTTGTAAAGCACCTTTTATGTCGCAAGGGCGTCCCAAGGAGCTGAACACTTCAGCAGTTGCTGAACAGTTACAACATTGGATGAAAGAGAAAATTGGTAGGAAGTGAGTAGAAGCAAGAAACAGACAGAGAAAGCAATTAATAAAGGATAAAGCACATACGTTCCCCAGTGGTTGAGAAAGTAAATGTATTGTGTGACATGGTCCTGAGCCACACAAATCAAGATAATAATAATAATAATTCTTGCATTTGATATAGCACTTTTCACGTCTTCTTGACGTCTCAAAGCGCTTCACGGAATATACTGTGAAGTGAATTGACTGCATATTTTGTGGGCGAAACACGGCAGCCAATTGCGCACAGCAGTGTCCCAGTCGAGGAATGAACTGGCCAATTTATTATTGTTTTTTTTGAGGGGTTATTATCAGGCGTGTGGAGTAAGGAAACTTGCCCAAGCCTTCACCCTGCCGGGAATCGAACCCAGGTCACTCGCTTGCAAAGCGAGTGCTCTAACCACTGAGATACAGGACTCCACGATGGTTCCAGATTCCATCCTCGGCAGCAGTGGAGCATTAGAGTTGGATGAACTCAGCGGGGTTGAAAATGTGGCAATTCACACCAAGTCGCTATGCTAATTGCAAGCTCTGGTTTGTGCTACCAAATTCACTACCATTTTGCTACCAAATCCACTAAAATTATTTGTGCAGAAAATCCACGACCCTGAAGGGTGGGCAGCGGCTGCTTCTGCTTACGTCGGAACGCCTTTTCCGAGTGAAGACGGCAAAATTTCGATGACAATTTAGAGAAGGCTGACGTTCATAAAGAAAGTGGCCCAAGTGGAATAGGCCGTGACAAAGCCGGTAACTATCACACATTAGGTTTTGTTGGGGGTCGGCCAATGTCTGACACGTGCGGAAACCCATCGTGCGGAGCCAGTTCAGCTCCAAGGAGACTCCCAATTATCCCCCACCAGTTCTGGGGGATAAGCAGCAGCTGCTTTTCTCTCCATAACCCAATCGAAGTGGAGCCCAAGTGCTGAACTCAGACTCCAGGTAACACCTTCCACCTCAAGAGTTTCCTCATCAACTGCCTGACAGACACTCGCCTTCAGTGCGGGGAGGGGGGGGGGGGCGGGAGGACCTCTAACAGCACTGCTTGTCCTGCCTCTGCCGCCTCTCATTCCCCAGCTGTTCAGCAAACAACTGCTCAGCTTCATTTGGGTTTTATTCTTTTTCGACAAAGAGACCTATTATTTATTTTAGAAGTCGAATATATTTGCGCCGATCCCGAAGAAGAGAAAAAAAATGCTCCAGCGACAGAGAGAAGGAAAGCCGTTTACCGTCCCGTCACAGGCAGCGGCACCGCGGGTTGTGCGCAGTCGCAGGAGGAGGAGGCGGCGCGTGAGCGGGGTTTGGGTGACGGTTTAACGGCTGTTTGAGGCGCGCTCCGGGGTGGGGTGGGGGGGGAGAGGGGGGGAATGGCGGCGTGAGCGCGGTTTCCGGCATAACCACCCGCGCTTGTCTGCCATATGAAAGGCGAGGGTTTTCAACACGATGTTCTAGGGACCTGGAGGACTGCTCGTCGGTAAGTGAAGTGAAGTGAAATGAAATGAAAGGAAGCGGGTGGTTGGGTCCTGTCGTGGGCGGTTTTTTTAAAAAAAAAACCCCGAGTCTGTCGTTTATCATTTCAAAAGCAAATCTCACTTCTTCACACTTCAAACTCATGCGATTGAGCAGATGTTTGAGGAAAATGTTCTGGGCGGCGGAGTGGGGGGGAGAGAGACCTGGAGAAAGTTGTGTGTGTGTGTGTAGAGAAGAAGGTTTTCTGAGTAAGACCTGTATGTTTACTGTACACTGGTCGCATCCATTACATTATCCGCACTCCACCGGACTGAGCCAGTCTGGATCCTTGGCGTCTTGTTTGACCCTGAGCTATCCTTTCCACCCCGTACCATGACCCGCTCTGCCTTCCCCAATCTCCGCAACATCGCCCGGCTCCGCCGCTGCCTCTCCCCCCCCCCCCCCAGGCTGCCGAGTCAACAACAACAAGATTGCATTTATAGAGCGCCTTTCACGTCAGGAGGACGTCCCAAGGCGCTGGACAGTTGGGTCAGGACCCGAGCAGGGGGAAAATGGTCAGGGTGAGGGGAGGGAAGGGAGGGAGCGAGGAGGGGGTAGAGAGTCGAGAGGGGAGCTGAAGGCACGGTCAAAGAGAAAGGTCTTGAGACCGGCCTTGAAGGAGGAAAGGGAGGAGGCGGCGAAGGCACTGGGGAATGGAGTTCCAGAGCCTGGGGGCTGAGAGGCTGAAGGCCCGACCACCGATGGTAGGGCGGTTGGGGCGGGGGATGTGGAGCAGGACCGGAGCCAGAGGAACGGAGGGTACGGGCAGGTAGATGGGGGATCGTAGGTCGGAGAGGTAGGAGGGACCAAGGCCGTGAATGGTCTTGTAGGTGAGGATGAGCATCTTGAATTCGATCCTCTGGGGGATGGGGAGCCAGTAGAGGCGAGCGAAGACTCTCATCCACGCATTCATTACATCCAGGCTTGACTACACCAACTCCCTGGTTGTTGGTTTTCCCAACTCTTCCCTCTACGAGCTGCAGAGCATCCAGAACTCTGCAGCTCATGCCCTCTCCTCTCCCGCACCAGGCTCCTTGACCCCATCACCCCCACCTTTGCCCGGCTTCACTGGCTCACCTTACCCCGGGGGATAGAGTTAAAAATCCTTGTCCTCGCCTTCAAAGCCCTCCACGGTCTTACACCTTCCCTGACCTGCTGACTCCATATTGACGTGTCTGACCCCTCCGCTGAGTAGGATCTAGCCAGTTCCATATACCACCCCCCCTTCCTACCATTGGCGAGTCGGGCCTTCAGCCTCTCTGCCCCAAACCTTTGGAACTATACCCCACAGTGCCTTCGCCTTGCACCCTCCCTTACCTCCTTCAACACACACATCATCACTGCATCAATGGTGCCACAAAAGTAATTTGTTGTACACTGGGCTGGTAATTAATCTGGTTTGTTTTTGTGAAAGGAACAACAACAATTTACACTTGTAGAATGCCCTTCACGTTGGAAAGATGTCCCAGAGCCCTGGACAGTCAGGAGTTTTTGGACCCGAGTTGGGCTTAAGAGGCATGGAGGGCAGTTGGAGTGGGAAGGTGACCGAAGGTATGGTCAAAGAGAAAAGACTTTAGATGGGACTTAAAGGAGACAAAAGAGGGGGTGAGGTAATGGGATTATGGGATAGAGTTCGAGAATGGGGGCAGAGATGCTGAATCCTGAACAGGCCGGTGTCAGCCGAGTGGATGGAGCGAATAGGCTGATATAGGGTTAGCAGGTTGGAGAGGAAGGGGGGGAGCAAAACCATGGAGGGCTTTGAAGGTGAGAATGAGGGTTTTGTACTCGATTTTCTGCGGGATGGGGAGCCAGTGAAGCTGGGCAAGAACGGGGCTGATTGGTTTGCGGAGCCTGTTGTGGGAGACGACACGAGCTGCAGAGTTTTGAATATCTGCAGCTTGTGGAAACTGCTCCTCACATGCGCCATTGAGCGATGTTGCCACGTGTATTCTTCCCCATACCAAACTCTGCACTCCCATTACCCTGGATTATCCTAAGTTATTGTACTCCTAAACCACCTGATTCCTTCTAAGCGCTCTGGGACGCTACCTTATGTGAGGGGTGCTATATAAATGATAGTTGTTGTTGGTCCTCCTCGCTGGTCTCCCGGTCCTGCTACCCACAAACTACCATTTTCACCTCCATTCTTGTATAGCTTCACTGTCTCCCCATTCCTCAGAGAATCTAGTACAAAACCCTTTTGTTCTTTCCTTCAAGGCCCTCCCAGGTCTTGCTCCCCACTACATCTCCGATCTCATAACCCCGTTTCAGCCTGTCCTCTCCCGCCAATCGGATGACACCAGCCTGCTTCAGATCCCCTGCACTTCCCGCCCCACCATTGGCGGTTTGGCATTCAGGCTGCAATGGATAGATTTCAAAATATTTGCCTACAAATCAATTAATTTCAATTAATTTTGTGTGTCACTACGTCCTGAACCTCTGAAACTCCCGAACTCAACTTTTCCACCTTGCAGCTTCTTTGCGCATCTTCATATTGCATCTGAATACTTTCTTCTTCCATTGTGCCCATGGTCACCTCTCCTTTCTCCCTGACTTGGTGTTAAACTACGCCATTGTTCAGTGCTCCCAAGACACTAACCTGCGTGAAGAGTGCTATACAAATTGTTGTTCTGACTTGGAAGGTGCTATTTCAAATGCAAGGATTATAAATATCTGGAAATAATTCCTTTCCCTAGTCTGTGTGTCAGTACGGAGAGGTGAATGGAATTATTTCCACATATTTATAATTGTAGTGCTTTAATTTGATATATGATTTAAGTTGCAAAACAGAATCTCACTCTTTCAGATTTGTAACAGAGAGAAAATATATTTTGAGAAAATTGCACTAAAATTAGTGAGGAGGGGTAATGGAGGGTCTAAGTACTATATATTTGCAGTGGACTGAAGTGGTATTTATTCTCGTTTTGTTTTCTAAAGGGTAATTCTGTGTGGTGCATATTAATTAGGAGGTTAGAATCTTGCTTTAATCTTTCATTTATTAATCTTTGTTTTTTTGATCAGACAAGTGTCTGATGAATAGAAATCCATCACCGTACCCAATACAGTTCCACATATGTATGAGTCAGCATGGCTCCAAGGAAACTCTGACCTGGTTAAATTTAGCTGGTGGAACTCTCGCAGTGCCGGACACTGGGTGGGGTCTTGAAGCCTTGGCTTTTTCCAACCTGTGCCTAATACTCCTTGGTATTGGATAAGAAGGGTGCGTTGGGTAAGTTAATGTTTGAAATTTCCTTTCCAGGTATCCCCCTATTTACTGTAACAACAAAATTACATTTGTATGGCACCTGTCACGTCAGGAGGGCGTCCCAAGGTGCTGGATAATCAAGTATTTAGTAATACTTGTACAGTAACAGAAGAAAGAACCCCTAAATAGAGTCGATTTAGAGATTCCATCTTTTACTGAATAAATATTTATAATAATAATAATAATAATCCTTGCATTTGATATAGCGCTTTTCATGTCGGGAGGACGTCCCAAAGCGCTTCACAGAATAGACTGTAAAGTGAATTGACTGTATATTTGTGGGCGAACGCGGCAGCCAATTGCGCACAGCAATGTCCCACAAACAGTCGTAGATTGAAAATGACCAATTTATTATTGTTTTATTTTTATTATTTATTTATTATGGTAGTATATCTGTTATAAGTATTATAAATTGCTGTATAAGTTTTTATGTTAGCGCCTCTCCGCATGGAGAGTGACAGGAAGAGTGTCTGAGCGGTAGGCAAGTATAATGGTGAGTTCATTTTTATTATATTGTCTTTTTGATTATTATTAAATATTAGCTGCTTTTCACGGTCAAAGTGTTGTAAAAAATGTAGGCTTAGTGTCAGGAAGAGAGATATGAAACATACAAAGTTTATTCAGTAGTAGAGTCATGGTGCTGTGCTTTTCTGTCTTGAGCAAATATGTTATGAGAAAATTAAATCATCTTATTCTATACAAAAGTACTGTTTCTTAGAAAGAGGGATGCACATGCGACATCAATCTCTGAAGGGGGGGCACAGCAAAAAATTACATTTGTTAATCCGATTATTCTGCCTTTGGTTGCAACTGCGGTATCATTCAGTAGAGTGGAATTTGTAATGGGGTACTTGAGCAGAAACCTTCAGACAGAAGGGGTACAGTTTTTTAAAAAATGGTTGAAAACTACTGTTCTAAAAGATATAAGAGCTTAACATGGCAGCAAGGAATTTGAATGTTTCATTCAAATCTGGACATGTAGTTTAAATGTTAGGAACAAAATCCCATTGTCTGAATATTTTATATGTAGAGCTAAGTTGTATTTTGCTTGCTTAAATTATTAATATGCATTTTAGTCTTTGTTTTTCAGACCTTATGTATTCAACGTTTACTGAAGATAACTTGAACATCAATCTGAAAGTAACGTGTGTGGAATGTCATCCGGAAAAGACGTTAGTGCGATTTTGGGGTCACGACAACAGTTTATGTGAATTGGATTATCATATATTGCAAAATGAAATACAAAATGCAACTAAGACTAAAGCTAGCTTTGGAACTGATGAGCTATGTTTTGCGGAGGATGTTTATAATGGAGGATGGTATCGTGGCAGGCTAATAAGGAAAATTGATGAATTATACGAAGTATTTCTCATAGATGTTGGAAAGGTATTGAAAGTTGATGCAAGGCATGTTGCACTTGCCTGCATGGAATTTTTCCAATTGCCCCCAAAGGTATTATGTGGCATATTTGCAAATGTAGTGCCAATAGGGGGCATATGGTCCTCGACAGCAGTGAACTATTTTGCATCTTTGATTGCTTCACAACTTAAAGGTTATGTAGAAGATATTTTGCTGAACCACATTATTTTGCTAGAAGTCACCAGTGTCAACAAGCAACTTTTTGAACTTGGTTCAGCAAAAATTTTTGATTCCAATACTTTCCGCCTTGTTCTAGAAATATCAGAAGATTTTTTAGACTATGATGGCTGTGAAAATACAAAACTCAAGCACACAAGTCAACTGTGTTCAAGAGCTGCATTTGTCTTATCATCTAATTTCCAACCTTACTTGGATGTTTTGACTCCTAGTTTACGAACTGGTGTTGTAGAAACTGTAAAAATAACGTGTGCTTCAGGACCTCATAGATTTTACTGCCAATTGAAGCGGCTGAATCCTGAATTGGTGGAATTGACCAGAGATATGTACTGTTTCTATGAAAGTCAAGAAAACGAAATGAGTGATGAGCCCATTGAGAATTGTGGTGCTCTCTGTGCTGCAAAGGGTAAGGATGGAAGATGGCACAGAGGTCTTGTTAAACGGCTCTTAACTCGTAGCCAGGTGGAAGTTTGGTTTATAGATTATGGAAATTATGATCTTGTATACCCCCATTATATTAGAAAACTGATTCCAGATTTTTTTATAATGCCTTTGATGTCATTTGCTTGTGCACTTACTGACTTGCCAGACAAAACAAAACAATGGACTGGTTTGCAGGCTGAAGGTTTTAAACAGTCATTGTTTGAAGAGGCATTTCAGATTCATATTGATTTCTATAGCTTGAAAGAAAAATTACATTATGTAACTCTGTGTAATCACAAAAATGTGAGCATCAATCAGATGTATGGAACCTTGTCAGAAGGAAATATTCCTGAAGTAAATTTAGGGATTGAGATTGGTCCAAAGAAAGAGGGAAATGAAGACAGCTACGAACAGAATGCAAGTCTTTCAGAAGAGACTAATTATACTACAGAGGCATTAACTGGTAAAAGTCTAAGCAAACCTCTAAAGCTCAATCTTGTGGGGTCTGTTGGGATGACAGTAGATGGTTCCTATCTTGGATTTGTTGAATATGTAATCAACCCATCTGACTTTTGGATTCGGACATTGGAGTACAATTGTGAATTTGAATGTTTAATGAAGAACATTACAGACCACTACAGTAGAATTGGTATAAATGAAGAGCTCATTCAAGCACCAGAGCCTGATTTGTTTTGTTGTGCTAGGTATTACAAAGACCAACACTACTATAGAGCTGTTATTACTGAAGTACTTGGTGACGAAGTCAGGGTTTGCTTTATAGATTTTGGGAATTCTGAAATTGTGGATACTAGTGATGTGAAATGTCTGCTTCCTGAGTACTCAAAGTTGCCAGCATTAGCCATGAACTGTTCTCTTGCTCATGTTTTTCCTATTGAAGAGGTGTGGACAAAGAATGCTACTGACTACTTCAAGAAAGCTGTATTCAACAAGCAACTTTTTATTGAAGTTGCCGCAAAACAGGACAGCAGATATGTTGTTAATATGAAAGATGTAGAACATATGGAAAAGTTCAGCATTAGTACACTTATGCATCAAGCTGGGTATGCTGACTTTTGGAATATGCAGCTAGATGTTAACTTGCCTTGGCAAAAGAGTAAATTGAAGAAACCAGAAGCAAGAAGAGCTGTTTGTACTAAATCAAACACACGTGAGCACAGGAGATGTATAGTAAAAAATATAAACAAGGAACCTGTGAGAAAATCCTGTGATATTCGGATTTCAGATATCCAAATATTCACTGCTTCTGCTCCATATGTTACTACAAATAATGTTTTTCCAAGTTCACAGCCTGCTGTGTCAAGATTGACTAAAGTGTCTACCCTAGTCTCACCATATCTACAGCAAATATTTAAACTTGGGTCTGTTCTTGATGTGAGAGTGTCCCATGTAGTTTCACCGGCAGAATTTTGGTGTCAGCTGCCAAGTAAATCAAATCAGCTACAGAAGCTTATGAGAAAGATTCAAGATTATTACAGTACTCCAAGGGATCCTTTTCAATTTGAACATGCTGTGTGTGTTGCAAAATACTCCAAGGATGGATTCTGGTACAGAGTATCAATCATTGAAAGATATTTTCACAAGCAAGAGCTTGCTGTATTGTTTATTGATTATGGCATCCAACAAAGAATATCCAGAAGAAATTTTTGTGCATTAGCTCCAGAATTTCTTCAGTTAGAAGGACAAGCATTTAGATGTACACTTAACAGCATAATTCAGCCTGTAACCTGTGACCCAATTGTTTGGGATAAGGTTTCCTGCAAAGAGTTTAACCAATTTGTTGATAATGCTTTGATTTCTGGAATTGGCCTTAAGTGCACAATACTTTCAATGGCACTGATGAAAAGAAAGGGTCTGTGTAATGTGATAGATCTTTATACACCATTTGTTAGTATAGGTCAATTACTTGTAAACAAAGAGCTTGCCACACATGTTGAGTCATCAAGTTCATTCAGCCCATTAATTCAAATATATACTCATTACTACAGCTCTCATGGTATAAAACCTGGAAGCGAAGAGAAAGTATTTGTAACCCATGTGGTTAGTCTGGCTAAATTCTATTGCCAGCTTGATAAGAACACTGCAGTTTTGGATAAACTTATGATAAAGATCAACAATATCAGTAAAATGATGCATGGACAAAATTTGGACATGGATAAAACATCCATGTGCTTAGCAAAGTATTTTGAAGATGGTCAGTGGTATCGTGCTCTCGTCCATTCTGTGAAATCTCCTTTTCATCTAAAAGTGTTCTTCATAGACTATGGAAATATGCAAATTGTTGATAAAAATGATGTGCTTCCAATTCCTGAAGAAGCAAGTGATTTAATTTTGATACCCATGCAAGCAGTTAAGTGCTGTCTTTTAGTTTCTGTAGATCAGGAAATCCCAGAAGAAATTGTCAACTTATTTAAAGAGATTGTGATTGGAAAACCTCTGAAAGCTTTGGTGATAGCTAAAGAGACTGGTGGTCAGTTTATTGTTGAGCTGTATGACGGAAATGTGAAAATCAGTGCTCAAATACAACACCTATTGCAACATAATAGAAAGGTGAGATGCCTTGAAAACAGATGGCAAATTGGGAAATTTCACACTTTAGAAAATACAAATTATTTCTCAAAACTAGTTAAAAATAAGCCACATGATTGTTCAATGCAGTTGATCAAAGAAATAAATGGACCAATCAAATCCTATTTCAGGCCCAAAACTCATTATATTGAAAAGAATCCAGGCACTGTTGTTCAACAGCAAGATGTAGCAGGAAAAACTTGGCAAAATCAAAGCTCTCGTAATCACCAGAGTGAGGATAACTTGAAACTTTCTTTACAGTATCTAGTAGAGTTGAATAAAAAGCACTATGAAGAGAAATTAAGCAAAGATGGAAGCTCCTGTAGTGGTCAAAGTGAGGTTAACCCAAAACTGCCTTCTCAATTTCAGGCAGACGTTCGTAAAAGGCGCATTAAAAATAATTCAGAGAAAACGACATATGCAGGCAGGAGATTGAAATCTTACGGCAAAACTGGCAGTTCTGATAAAACTGAAGTTAATCCCAGTTTTAATTTGGATGCTGCTGAATTGGAAAATATAGCAAACCGTTCTGAAGTTGCATGCATAACTCAAAAGCAAAATGAGACTTGTTTTTTTCAACAACTGATGGATTTGCCTCAACCAGAGTTAACACCTGACATAAAGCATGAAAAGTACATTTTAGATGTGAACAGCTCTTCAGGTGATTCCATTCAACTAATAACAGCTGAGGATAAAATCCTACATCGTAAGAAAAAAATTAATAGCAAAGGAATTCCTGAAGTTGCATTTCAAAATATTCAAAGTATACATATGGGAGATGATGATGTTGAGCATAAGAATGGCCTGGATGATTTATATGCAGAATTCACTGACTAAGTTGACATGTTTGGCAGTGGAATGTTGGAATCAACCCAGACCTGTCTGACTCTCCCCAACTCCTCCGCCCACAGGCTGCGGTGTAAATAGTTGGGATTATAGTATAAGAATCATTAGTGTTGGTCATGTAGTGCATAGATGAATAAAGTAAAATGAATTAAAGAAATAAAAACTGCCACATCACAAACACACTCACAGTCCTAGTAAAGAGGCACTGAGCTCGGAGGAGTACACTGGAATGTGACCCATGGCCAGGGAAGATCAGGATAGCTGGATCTAGAGGATGGATGGTAGGCCGTCTGCGCTTACAAGGGCATGTGAGCTATGGGCAGGAGAGATAGGAACCTGGGATAATTGGACCAGGAGAATGGATGGGATACAAACTAGTAATTAAAACTGAGAAAAAACTTAAAAAAGTGAGCAGGTCACATGGACAGAGTTAGAAAGAAGGACTGAAACTTCAGGGACATGGAGTCAGGTGGTTTGGTCAGGCTAGATAAGATGGAATAGGAGGAGTATTGTTCTCTTGTAGAAGCTACCCTAGCTGGTACAAGGAGGAACAATTTGAAAATGGGGAAAGAATGCCTGGGAAAAGTGTAGTGAGCGGGAAAGAAGTCATGAAAAAAAGAGTTTGAACACAGATGGCTGGCGAAAAAAGGGTATAAGAATCGATAGCCAAAACTAGTTTTTTTTGAAGAGCCTCTGAGGAGTTCTCTGGAGAGCCTCTGAGGAGAGGAAGGGAACGAACCTCTATGAAGAGGAAGAAGAGTGCCTTTGAGGGAAAGAGGACAAGTCCAGCTCTTGCCGGAGTGGACCGCAAAAAGGACAAGTTTATCCCTTGCTGGAGTGGACCACCAAGAGATGTTTGCAGCTAGAAGCCAGCTAGAGACGTTTGCAGCCAGCAACAAGTCAGAGACGTTTGCAGCCAGCAACAAGTCAGAGACGTTTGCAGCCAGCAGCACACTAGAGACGGTGTTTAACCTTTGTGCCAGCCTTAGAACTTGGTCAGGATTTCCTGCCTG